GCTTTCTGAAATCTTACAGGTTTGATTAACTTTGCTTCAGAATTTACCCAAGATCTAAAATAGCGGGTGTTTTCAAAAGTTGGGTGTGATCCTTCAAGTTTACTTCCTAGCTTTACAAGGCTAGGATGCTCAAAATGTGCCCAGGAGTCAGACATGGCTTTTTTTTCAAATATGTGTATTAATAAATCCAACATTATCGCACTCAGAACATGATTTTTTGCTATAGGGAAATAAGCAGCAACTTCGGTTTCTGGAACATAGGACATCAAGTAGACAAGTGATGTTTCAGTGCACTCCATTTGTAAATGGCATTGTATTAAATGACTTCCTGTTATCTGAGAAAAAATAAAGTTGATGTGAAAATGTATCCTTTACTCTCTTTTAATGGCCACTCCAATAATAATGTCTCATAAGCAAACAACTTTTGGATTTTCCAAACACAATTAGTTGGTTGTATAGTTACATACCGGTACTAGTACATCATGGTTTTTTTACATTAGAGTTTCCATGGAAAATCCAAAAGTTGTTTGCTTTAAATACAGTTGACACACCCATAAGGACCTATCCTTTTGTTCAGGAGGTGGAAGTGACCACCTCCTGAACACAAGGATAGGTCCTTATGGGTGTGTCAACTGTATTTGTGTTCATGTTGACTAATTAAGCAACAATGAAAAGATTTGAAAAATAACATTCAAAATCAATCAGTTGCTGAAAAATGGTTGCTATAAATTGTAATGTACCTGTGTTAGTGGAGTTTGAGTGGTTAGTAGTTTTGTTTCAACTTTTTCTTGTGTTAGCTTTGCCAGATCACTTTTATTTGGCAAGGATCGGGTCTTGATTTCTACTAGAAATTCCTGTTCTCCAGTGCTTACTCCATCTGGACTTGACCCAAATCTCTGGTCAGTGGGATGTTTAAAATACCCACACTGGGTAATGTCTAGGTTTGAATCATTACAAAACTGGAGGAGTGCATTGCCTTCTTCTTGCTTACCTCTAATGAAATTTGGTAATCTAGACCTTTTGGGGTTCAGTACACTTTCATCAAGTTTATTTCTAATTGCAAACCAAGAGCAATCAAATTCTTTCATCCCATGGAATCCAAGTAATGATGGGGCTTTACTAGCAGTGATTACCCCGACTCTTAAAGCTCTCCAGTCCTTAGAACACTGATCAACAGGAACATAATTCAATCTTGTCAAGAGGCTATTTTGTTGTTTAAATTTAGCTTCATCACCTTGAACAGTATCTGTAGGAAAGGTATTAGCTTCGGACTCAGCTGGTTTTGGTCTCCATACTGCCTCTGTGCTCTCATCAAACTTTGGTTTCAATACAAGTTCATTATACTCTCTCCCTGCTTCCTTGTTTTGAAATTCATTCTTGTACCTTAAATGCAGAAATAAACCTGATTTTTTTTTATACTTGGACAGGACTGAAAGAAAATGACTTTCAACTGATTTCATTGAATTGATTTTAGTCTTGACTTTTTTTTCCATTTTCAAAACATCTCTTGTATACCAGTCACTGTAGTCATTGTCACTAGCACTGATGACCTTTTTCTTTGTCCTCAATTTATTGATGTCTCTCCTAGCACCACGCAAATTTCTCATGTACTTTAACTTCACTTGAGTAGCAGATCTTGCAGTGTTTGATTGTCCCTTTTTATGCCACTTTTGTAGCTTTTCAGTGCATGACATATTAAGGTATAGTTTCTTGTGATTATTGAAGTGATTAAGTTGTATTAAAAGGGCTATAACATGACAACATAATCCGCTTTTGCCCACTGCACAACCACAGTATGCTTTCACAGGAGTATTTTTGCAAAACAAAAGTGTTGCAGGTCTGCTTATACTCCCTGTGTACGATTTAAGAATGCTAGCTTTCACGTACGTGTCACCAGAACATTCAATTATTTTAACCGACATTATTCTTCTCGAAGAAAATAATTTATAAGCCTTTCTGTACTGTCCTTTTCCTCCAGCGTATTTCGCTTTCTGGTATTCTTTAATCGTACATTCAGTAACAGTCGGAACTGCAACTTCTGTCTGTTTCCCTACGACCTTCCAGTTTGCTGAGAGAGGTGGAATAGAATGGGGATCGAGTGCAGTAGAAAACTTAAAATCTTCTTGAATTCGAGTGACTTTTTTATCAAACAACTCCTTGAACTTTCCGAGTGGTTCTAACCTCTGAGCTAGTTCTTTCTTTTCGCCGGAAACTTTCAGCTTTAGAGCATTACAGCAATACTGCAGTCTTTCTTTATTAAGTTTTGGCAAATTGTCGGTAGAAATCTCGTTAAAAATTTCCTCAAAACAGACAGCAGGACTTCTCTTATCGTCCGCCATATTGAATCTGGAATCAGAAATGTCCGGCAAAATCCGGTAGTGCCAGTCCCCCGCTCGCCATGAAATTAGGCAATAGCTGCAAACTTTGTCTAACAAGAGTAAAGCTACTCTTCTTGTTTCAAAAGTTTCATAAAGCCAAACTTACCCCCTGTTTTCTGTCTCCCCATCGTCCACCGCCATAGTTCCTCTGCATTCTGCGCTGGAATTTATTGCGATTATCGCGCCCTCTCATCAAGTTTTGCATACCACCAGACTGATTATTGTCAAATCGCTGGTTCCCATAACGACCACCTCTCTGGTCTCTGTTTCTTCCTCTCTGTGAATGTTAGCAATCAGTTAACATGGTTAAGCAGTTTTCTTTTGATATGCAAATTTACATACTTGTTCAAAGACAATAAAAGTAAACATTTTGTATAGTACAAAGTGTCTACCATACCATGTTTACCCTATTCCTGTTCTTCAAGTAAGCTGGTCGTTGAGGTCGGGACGTGTCAACAAGCTGAAATGAGGTTTCATCCTCTTCATGATAATATGAGAAAGTCTGATTTCCAGCACCAAACTGAGATTGGTATTTGTCTAGAATTATACAAATCATTATCAGGTAAAATAGTTGTGTATTAGAAATGTAAAGAATAGGATGGAAAGTAAAAAGATGTTATGATGTACATAATGGTTTTTGATGAGTGATAATTATCGCAATCAGTGCAATATTGTATCTCATTCTAATCTAGCAGCTTTATTATAGTTTTATCTTATAAAAACACAGTTGATTATGTGGTTAAAGAAGTATAGCCTCTTACTAGCATAACGTCTGTCTTGATAAATGTTGCCAGTCCAATCAGAAACCTTAATTTATAAAGTAAAATATGATTAAAAAAAAAMAATGGTAGAAAAATCAATAACTTGATCTTACAACAACCCTCAATAGTTCCCTTGTAAAAAACAGCAACAACAATATGTAATAATTCTTTAATAACACAGTTAAATTTCCCATTTTATTTCGTCACAGCAATTCCTCCCACTCCTAAATGAAGAATGAGGGAAGACACTATATAATATTTGATCTTCTAAATAATTTTTTTTCTTTAATTACATAGAACAATAAATTCCAATGAAAAATCAGCAAAAAATGCATTAAATATCTACGAACATGTTAAATAAAAGAGATTTTACACCGCACAAATTACCGAAGCCGGTACGACGTGTCCATGTGCCATTTGAAGTGAATCGTAAAAATCAAATTTCACTTTAACAATTATCGTTGTTACCTTTCCTATTCGGTCTCCTTTAGAAAATGGTTGATATGGGATGTCTTTGAAAGCTGTAGGGACACTACAAGGCCCCCATCCATCAGGATTATCTTGAATTTCGGGCGAAACAAAATGTGCTTTGCCCTCCATCTTGACTAATTACTTAATTCATCACTAGGCTGACTCGGTCATATTGGACCGAGACATTCAAGGAAGCTGAGCACGACGACACAGGRATCCCGATTTACAATGGAGCCCAATGAAACTGTTCTTTCAGATGTCCATGTTTTTGCTCCTTTCTTGAAAATAGAAAACAGTGATACCGGTGAGTAATCTATTTATTGGATGTGCATTGTAACGAAGCTAATTTTAGAGTGTCAGTGCGTTTTCAATGCGTTTATTAAATCATGAGTGCCCTGTGCACTTTATTGACAGCTTTAACAAGGTTTGTCATCAAACAACCAAAACAAAATAATGAAAAAGACGTGGACCATGGCAGTATAAATACTGTAATGAAGGACGATGAGGGAGACTTCGTTGTTGACAGGGGAATCAAGTATGATAATGAGCCATGTGATGTCATCATCATTGGTATGTAACTTGATTGACAGATTGATTGTTTGATCAGTTGATAGACTGAATCAATTGCTTTTATTCTTCTTACAGAACATCAACTTGCTACAGTTTTGAAAGATGTTGGTTTGCAGGTTTGTTTATGCTTAACCTGTAGACTTCATATATTATTATTGTTTTTAACCACTAGCTATTCTTTATTCAGGTGTGGAGAGGTGCTTTGTTACTGGCTGATTACCTTTTGGAAAATGAAGACATGTAATTGAATCAAAAACACATTGAGATTCTTATCAGGGTCTGATCAGTGATTTACATCAAAACGTTTTCTTGTAGGTTTGCCGGCTGTTATGGGCTTGAGCTTGGTGCTGGTGTTGGATTGTGTAGTGTTGTCCTAGGAAGAGTTGCATCAGCTGTATTTTGTACAGGTCTGTCAAGCAATGATCATTTTCTTATGTCATCTGAAGTATCTGAAATTCATGAACAACTTCATATTATTATCATATAGATTGCTGAAAGTATTAACATATTATGTATCCAATTCAGATTTTGGTGATGATGTTCTTAGAAACTGTCACAAGAATGCAGAAATGAATGCTCATCTTTACAAGAACACATCTGTAAATAAAGGTACTAACTACAATTAAAACTGCACAACAATTACTATTTTACACTGTAGATACTAGATACTAAAAAAAGATAATAGCATTAATTGATATGAGCCATAATAACTTGATGTATTTCAGATGAAGGACAAGTTTCACCTGTAGTAAAAGTTAGAGAACTAGACTGGACAAAAGGAATTATTTTATCCAGCACATCTAATGGTAGATATACTGTTACAGTATTTATTTTATGCAAATCAGATCACTAAAGTTCCTTCATTATTTTAGGAATGGAAGAATGTTATCGTTGGTCCAAAACGGACACAGATGAACTAAAGAAAGTGACTGTATTTTTTGCTGCAGATGGTGAGTTTAAACACTGTAACTACAACCTAATGATATAACAATCATGTTGTACAGGATAGTACAAGTAGCAAGTCTATGACAACCTTCTTTAGGCTGGAGTACAAACTAATCTTGTCAATCTGTTTACAGTGATTTATGATGACAAGCTCACTGATGCACTATTTAACCAGGTGTTACATCTTCTACAACAAAATCAGCAAGCTACCTTCTACTTGTCCATTGAGAAAAGGTAATGTAGATGACTGCTAGAGTACAATATAAGAAATGTTGAAAAATAGAGATAGTAAAAGACTTGGCTAGGTATTCTACATGTCTGACCAGGTAATTCCATAATGATACATTCTGAACTTTCAGGCTCAATTTTACTATGGAAGACCTAGATGTAGTCTGTCCAGCTTATAAGTACTACTTACAGACAATCCAGAGACTGCAGACAAAGAAAATACTTCATGTCAAGCAAATACCAACCACTTTCACACAGTTCTTCAACTATGAACGAGTCAAAGAACTAGTAAGCATTGTTTAAGTTGTTTTAATGATTCCTGGACAGTGACATTGAGAACATAATAAATCATTTCTAGATTTCTAATTTCAGTAGCATATTTTATCTGCATTAGATATTGAAAAACAGCTGACTGGTCAGAAGCCATGCGCGTCACTCTAATACGTACGGTAATCAAATTAGCGCGGTTTTTTATATTTTACCGTTAGACGCAGTTTCAATACGTTTCGCGGTAATTGCAGTAAAACCTTTTCATTGTCACAAGACTTCCGCGTTGTATACGCACCTAAGTTGATTGCTGAAATATGTTTTATTTTTAAGGAATTATGGGAAATGAAAGCACACGGACCCGAATGACGACTCAAAGATTCGAACTGCCCCTTTTACCATACAGCGCGCACACATCATTTTGATGCTTAAAGTCAGACAGAATGTTGCTATTGTCATCGGTTGATTGTTATCGACGGCTAAAACAGTTCATAGTATTAAGATCAACGTTTCTCCAAGCAGTGATTAGCGGTCTATAAACTCTCTATGGTAATGTCCTTGGATGACGTTACAGGCAGAGTTCAGGGACTAGTGATTTTGACCCAAAATAGTTCTTTGCTGCACGTCCAGAACTACAATGTAAATACACTAAAGATTTAGTGTAAGCTAGTTTACTAAGACATCATTGGTCAACCAGCATATACACTAAAGCAGAAGTACAAGGTATTCAATGGGTTTGGCAAGGATCACGAAACGRCGGAAGATGGCTTGAACGTTACATGGCATCAGCAAAAACGCCTTTTCCAGTTGAATCTGCTCAAAATTGAATACATTACTTCTTTGAAACATAGTAACGCCAAGTGTCACGCGTTGGCCATGATTCCTTGCGATGCAATATGGCGGACATGCTATTTGCTATGTTACAATTATGCCTAATCATTTTAGCTCAGCAATGCAGTATAATTAACTAAATCAAAGGATTCTTAAGTCTTTCAAATAACCAAGTTGATAGACAGTCAGCAAGTAAAATCAAGACTTGGGAAAACTAAGATGGCATTGACAAGAAGCCAAGCTGCAAGTCGCAATACTCGTTCTACTGGTCAGAGTAATCTATCTTTGGGATTAACACATCGCACTCAAAAAAGAAAACAAGCGAAAACAAAATCAAAAATACCAAAGATAAATACTTCGAAGTCAACAAAGTTTGACAACCTAATAACATMTTTTGGCGAAGTGCTTTGGAATTTGGTACAGGAATATTATCCTTGGATGAAAATCTTATTGGAACCGTTGAAGGGCTCAGTGTCAGCTCCACTTTTTATTTCTATCATCTTGTTGTTGCTGTCTTTATACACGCTTTGGGGCTCTGCCAGCGTTATTTGGCAAAGTTTATTTACAGATGAACTACCAAGTCTTTATGTTAATGATGTTTCGTTTGCCCCAAGGCATCGATGGATATGGCGRGAACAAGAAGTTTTGAATATCACAAAACAAATTGAAAGTTTGTGTGATAAGCACGATGGCAAACTAGTACATGTGTATTTGGTCGGAGGGCCCGGCTCGGGAAAATCTGAGCTAAGTAGACAAGTTGGTCTTCATCTGTATGAAACGAAAAGACAAAAGGATAGACCAATGGACGTGATCACTATTGATGGAATCAGCATCACGTCTCTTATGTCTAGTCTTCTTGATGCAGTCTTTGCTTTATGTAATGACACTGAGCAAAAAGCTGATGGCATGAAACAAATGAGAGACGAACTGAATTTTAGATTCACAGATATTTTCTCAAGTGAAGAAACACTAAAAACTGAAAGAAAAGTTAAAATAATATTTGCGAAACTGAAAGAGCTATTGAAAATTCGAAACAGTCGACCAGTTTTGATATTCGATAATGTACAAGATATGAAGTTGTTGTTCAACTATTTGAGTCTTGAACCCGGAAGTAAACAATTTACGACTTTTGTAGTCATTACAGCCATTGAAAGACGCGTTTCCTTAGAAAGATTTAGTGACTATGTACGAGTAAAGGAACTAGATGAAGGCATGGTGCCTGCAGACTCAGTTAAATTACTTGAGAATATTACAGGACTGACTATCAATCAAGATGCTTATAAACTATCAAATGAACTTGATCAGCAGCCTCTTGCGATAGCAACAGCTGCCATTTACATAGAGAGTGTTCGTGAAGGACCGCCAAAACGCCTTGATTATTCATACTTTGATTACATCACCGAGTTTAAAAGAGATATTTACTCTCTTGGCATGGAAGAAGAAATTGAATGGCGGGAAAGTGACGCATCAAAGTATAACGTCTCCATGTTTACAGCAGTCCTCAAGGCTGTTAACCGTTCTGCACAGAATGACCCTGTTGTTCGTGAAATTGCTTGTACAGCAGGATATACTGATTCGTCTCCTCTAAGCATGTCCTTTGTGCTCGATGTTTTCAAAAATAGCACACACAATTTTACAGAAGCGCAAATCCGAACTTCTTTGCGCAATGTCCTGTTTAAGGTCCATGGCAAAAAAGGAATTCAGGCGTTGTCAAGTCACCAGGTGATCCGTGCGGCTTTCCGTCTTGTGTGCAAGGTAAGTTGGAGAAACCCAAGCTGTCAAAATGCCACGTTTTGTAACTTTGACGGTGTCAATTCCATTGAAACGAATGGTTCATTATCAAAGGTTTTCATGACACTTGCGCTAACTTTGCAACATGAACTAAATGACATCATGTCCAATCTACAGGACATAAATGCTTCCTTATCAGAATCTAATAATATGTTTGGTTCTCAATGTTTAGAGATTCTAACATCACTATGTCTATTCTCTACAAGAGAGGGTTTACAACTGTCAAACATCATCACTACTCGACTTTCAAGTGTTTTTCTGCAACTCGTATCACATGGTTCAGGGTTCTGGTCTAACATCATTAAACCACCTAGAAATGAATTTCGACTGAAAGAAATTGTTGATTTGACAAACCTACAAGCACAAACGGGTAAACGACATGATTTGCAAATACTACTTCTGGTCGTGTGTCTACACAGTGGTGCTACTAAAGCACAAAACGATGGACTGATGACTGCAATTAATACGACGTCAATGGAGGTTGTTCAAATGATTCCTGTAAGTCCAAATAAACCTCTTTTTTTAAATATCCTAGGAATAATGTACCGTGGTCTAGGCTATCCATATAAGTCAAAAGATCTTCACAATTTTGCTTTAGATCTTTATCATAGCACTAGCATGGTCAATTACACGCATCATTCTGACCTGAAATTGCAAAGAGCAAAAATTGGAGAAGCGGGAACTCTGCATAAACTTGGCATCATTTATCGTTATCTAGGTAACTTGATGAGCGCAAAGACTGTCCATCAGGCATCTCTCATGCTGTTGCAAAAGTTGTTCGGTTCAAACCATCCTTATATCGCGGGCTCACTTTTAAATCTAGCAGTTGTGTATAGTCGCCAAGGAAAGTACCATGATGCTTTGCTACTACACAATCAGTCGTTGGCAATATTACAACAATCGTATGGATTACGTCATGCACACGTAGGAACAGTTTTTATCACTATGGGAACAGTGCATTATAAACTAGGGAACTTTAGTAAAGCAATTCACTGCACAGAACAGGGCTTAGAAATACTAGAGGATATCCATGGACCGTATCACCCTCGTGTTGCAGAAGCACTCAATTTTCTTGGATTCATGTATAGAGATAAAGGGTTGCTGAGAAAAGCTCAAGAATGTCTTGAACGGTCGATATCTATCAAAGAACAAGTTTTTGACGACAAGCATTTTATACTAGGTGAGGCCTTAAACGATCTTGGGGTAGTGTACACTAGATTGGGAGAAACCGAAAAAGCCATCAAGGTGCTAAAGAAGGCGTTACATATCTTTAAACGGACATGGGGAGAAAGCCACACTGCAGTTACGACAACCTTGAATAGTTTAGGGGCTGCTTATTGTGCTTTAGGAGAGGCACGCAAGGCAGTGTCCCTACACCAGACAGCCCAGGAGACTCTTTTGAAAATGACCGCAGGGACTTCCAGGGATCATCTTCTTGCGGAAACAAGACATTTATTAGGAAATGCTTATCTGACAATGGCGAATGTAGACGATGCCAGAAAAATGTACCGTTTAGCATATTCAGGATTTAGTACTTTATACGACGAAAAACACTGGAGAGTTCAACAAGCACAGAGAGATTTAATTTCCCTGCATTCAAACACCTCAAAGAATTCTATCGTTTTTCATTTAATTTTAGTTATTTATACTTCAGTTTTTTCTCTTCTTACCAATCTGTTTTAAATATTCAAAACTTGTCAAGAGCTGTAGAGCCAAACGGAAGACACAGTCTTGAAAAAAGGTTGTCGCTAACGAGCATCGCGATTACCGCTTCGGCATTGTCTGGTAATTGCGCAAAAAGGTAGCGACAACGTTTTAACTAGATGGATGCAGTGCAGAATTGAGCAGATTTTTATTATATTATTTATTAACAATTAATTACAACCAGAGAGCGAAGTCTGTTATTCTTTACTTCATTCCGAAAGCCAGATTACAGTATAACTTTGGACAGCAAAAGAAGCCGAGACAATTTAAAGATTTAAAGTAAGTCAGGGCCAATTACATGCGGTTGTGTAAGGTTTAAATACACTTAACTTTATAACTAAACTGATATCTAGATCATAGTATCTCCTCTAATCGCTTATGATGTGTTGACGATGGTCTCGTAATTGGTCGGCTTCGTCTGTGGCAACAAAAATCGTCCTTTACGTAATTCGGTTCGACAACAAAATATCTGATTGCACAAGCTGTTCCTTTGAACATGATATTTTATTACTGGAGTTTTATATTTATAATTTGCTGATGCAATTGATGAAGTAGGAATGGCAGGTGACTTAGTGAAAAGTGAACAGCTAACTAGACGAGCTCCCTGACCAGTGATCAGTGAAAGTAACGACGTTTTGGTTAATTTATGACCATTTGATTGACCTTGATTGGTGATTAATTGTAAATATATATTGTACACCTCATATTCCATCACTAAAAAGGGCATGGTATATCGTTATCCACGTCACTGCGCCAGCTGTCGTCATGACCACCTCATTCTCAGCATATCTGAAATACTTTCTCTCGTGAGGTAATACCGGGCGCAGGCAGTCGGACAACTTGAAAACCCTACCCGAGATATCATGTACCTTCATAACGAATAAAAGAATTAACTCAAAAACTTAATCTTTGTGTCACTACCTCCAATTTCTACGGGATTTTAGAAGTTGATTACTCAGACGGAAAAGTGAAACCGGCGAAAAACATGCGATTTGAACATGAATTATAACAACATCGGACCATTTAACAAACATTTAAAAATAGTTGCTAGATAATTTAAATTACTGGCATTATCATGGTTGGAGTAAAAATGACTAAGCTCTGGACACCTGCTGATGAGAGGATGGTTTATCCGATCAATGGTTAACTAAAAAAAAACTTGGACTTAAACCATGTCACGCAAGAAAAATGGTTGAAAACCTTTATCATAAAAATAGATACCAAATAGCAATCGTTCTTAGCAACAGGAAATCAATAAAAGCACTTTCGATTCCCTTWTTAACTTGAAAAGTTTTCAATTTCATCACAGATTTAGTCTCCCAAAAAAGTTATGCATTTATAGCGAAAGTATCTCCACGAGTGACGGAAATACGAAGGGCAAAGGAAAGCTCACCCTTCCGTACTATTAACCAATAATAACTAGTGTTCTTTGGATGTTAACGAGAACTAACCAATCATAGAGAGCGTTGTATTCGGGGTCTTCATGCCAGGGATAGTGACGTCACCAGTTCTCCAGGGTGAGGCTGCTAAGCTCTATGCCAAGAGGTTGTTCGGCATAAGGTTTTACGCTTGAAAATAGGGCTGGATACTTCACAAATTAGGCGTCTGTACAGCTCGCAAAGAAGCCCTAACTCTCAAGATTTATCAGTAAAAGTGTAGGCAGTGTGAATCGCGTTCAAACGCGCCCATTAGCCATGGAGAATGAGATGAAATATCTGGTCGTCGACCGTGCGGCCATTTCAGATCCTGTAGCGTTAGCAGAATGGAGTTCAAAGAAACTTGTTTGGATTCCCGATGAGAAAGAGGGGTTTGTAGCTGCTAGCATAAAAGATGATAAAAAAGAAGAGTATGTTGTTGAAGTCGATGGTGGGAAACGAAAAAAAGTCAACAAGGATGATATACAGAGGATGAACCCACCCAAATTTGAAAAAGTTGAAGACATGGCCGACCTCACTTGTTTGAACGAAGCTAGCGTCCTACATAACCTAAAAGATCGATATTTCAGTGGATTGATTTATGTAAGTAAAATTTAGATTCTTTATTATCCATTTAATGACTTCCATGGCTTTGATTTCCAATTCTTGGCATATTATGTGCAAGAATGTCTAGTACAACTCATGCTTCCACCGGAAGTCTCGGGACGACTTTACTTTCCACTAAAAACTTTTAATAATTATGATACCCAGCTGTTGTAGTAAATCAATAGTGGTTTATGCTCTTTTTGTGTCTCGTAGACATACTCTGGCCTTTTCTGTGTGGTAGTCAATCCTTACAAACGTCTCCCAATTTATACTGACAAAGTGATTGATATGTATCGCGGCAAGAAGAGGCATGAAGTCCCTCCTCACATATACGCCATTACAGACACAGCATATCGTAGCATGTTACAAGGTAAAGTAAATGCTACTTTTTGATCGCATCTAACAATCCCAATTCGCACTAGATCGATCGAGTAGTAAATAGATGTGATCTTACCTTACAAGGGCGAATATTCGCTTCAAAATAATGCATGAAAGTCGCGAAGCATTTTTGTGCAATGGTCTGTGAAGAATGAAGCTAATTGAGTGTCTCACGATTTCCACCGTGACTCGTTAAGACTTTTTGCTTTCTTCATGTTGCAAGCTCAAGTGCATAGAGTAAGCAATATTTTAGCTATAATTTGCATAGAAATCTGCAGTGCTGTCGAATTTCATGACGACAATCAAGTTGTGATATTCAATTGCAGAGTGTTGAATGGTTTATATCTATTAGTTTGATTTTGTGATAGCTGGGTTTAAGGTACCCACCCCCCATGCAGACACATTGTTTACTTAGGTCCTAGAACAGATTGCTTCATCTAAATTAATTGTATAAAGTATATCAAGCTTGAGCTCAGTATATCCCCAATCACTACACAAAGGTCACAGCAGTAAACCTTTTCAAATTATGCAAATAATCTTATTTTACAAAAAGGACAAATTTAAAAACTATCAAGTCTTGCATGATAATAATTTGTTGTTTTATGGATAACAGTTTATGGAAGTAATAGATGTTTAATTAGAACCTATCCCTTACCCTACKTTGTGTTAAATCTATATCATCTTGCACGATTCTGAAAGGTTTCCTGTAGTTATTTTGTTTATACCAATTCTAAGTAGAAAGAATCACCATGCAATAGCAAAGGACGTGACATTTTGTCAATCTTAGATTAACAGTAATCTCTAATTTGACATCAATAATCATCTATAATGTTTGTTATTACCTCTTGCAGAAAACAATTTTCAATGTAAGRTGAATAATTATTTTGTTTGTGAGTGGACTTGAGTCTGCCTGTGCTGGATTGTATTATATTTGTATCAAGTTGTTCATTTGCTAACTTTAATAAATATTATGTACATACTTCATATTCTACATTATAGGGGAATAAGATAAACATAGTCTACCTATAAAGGAATTTCTGGCTGATAAATTCTAACTATTTATTGGGTCCAATGTATGTAGAAAGTGAAATCAGCAACAAACTCAATAATAAAGCTACTTAAGATAAGTGTGAGAAGTGGGATGTCAGCTTTCCATCCTTGTTCTTTCAGTCAGTGAAATGATTATTGTTAGAGGTTGTTGAATTTAAAAAACAATTTCTGTATATTTTGTATGCTACTTTCCTATGTCGTTAAGTTAGCAGAATGTGAGAGTTCAGCAAAGTGAAAGTAGTTGGACAATTCATAATTATTTTGTCTTGTGACCATGCTCCTCTTATTACATCTAACCACAAGACAGACTAATAACTCCTTTCATAAAATCTATTATGATTCATGTCAAAACCAMTTAATGTCTTTGAAAAAAAGTTACCTTCCTCTAATGATAGGATAGAGTTTTAAGGTCTTTTTACACTCAAAATATGTAAATGTTAAACATTTTATTTCCTCTGTTAGAATGATACTAGATATGTGAGAAATCTCAACAAAAGCCTAAAATGTACAGTTATTGTTTGGTTTTGTGATCAACTCCAGGGGGTAACTCTTCCTAGATATCAAAGTCCTTGTTCTTAATATTAAGAATGACATCTTTTGGCTTGATTGACTAAATGTGGGTTTTGSTCATTTATCCCAACATATTTGATGACTTTAATGTTCAGATGCTTTTTTCTAAATGATATTTTAAAGTTGTTATCATTCAGTTTATAACATTGATACTAGAGATCATATTGCTGTCACATGCTAAACACCTTGTCTAATAAGACYTGATAGTTAATTTTACAATTTAAGGTGTGCTTATGTTTCAATTCTGTGTCAACAGTCAGAATGGTGGTATTATCAATACTTGTTCTTTTGACTTTTGYGAATCCAAAAATGACAAGTTGAAGTTCTATAATCTGGCATCTGTAGTGCTGTTATGTATCTAAATATTATTTCAATGTGAATTGGATGTTTGTGCTATGATTGTGTAATGGATTGACATGCTAATATATTGTACTAAAATACCTTATTTGTAGGAGCTACTGCAACATATCAATATCTTTGTTACATCATTTTCTTAATGTAAAATTAATGAGACAAGATGGCCTCACCTTTGTGTTATTATTACTCACCTATCAGTGTTAATTAGATGTTGTTTATTGTTTTTAACAATACATAAAAAGGTATACTTGAGCAGATTAAAAAATGTCAATTGTTGCAGAATTTCAGGTTTCAAAGTTTTGAAATTACATTCCACATTATTTTTTCTGTAAAAAGGTTTTCAGTGGTAACTTTTAGTTTGAGGCTATACTGAATATTTATTAAGGTTTATATGGTAGATAACCTTTAGCCTTGCTAGTGTCTGCAGTATTTTTGGAGGTGTGTGTCTAAGTGGATTACTAATAGTATGACCCTCATAGTTTTGCCTTTATATGGTCATACCTTGTGTACTTCCTGTATGAATAATGACATCATCTCTCTACTAACTCTCATTTTATTGTTCTTGAAGCAAAAATTAAATCCTTTTACCAACCAAGCACACAAACTGAGAAACCAAAAGCATTTCTACTTCACTATTAGCTCAACTTAAAATAGTTTTGTTGTTATTATCTAGAACAGCAAGAACACTGTTGTCTTTTGTCTGAAGCCATTTGCATTTTCTTTGTTGTGTTGTTGAGTTTAACAACACATTTGAATTAAGCTTATGAATGGAATCCAGAAAATTTTATATTCCTTTGATTCTTATTATATCTAGATATAGTGGTTTGTGGTTTATTCCTTTTATCTCTGTAGAGTATTCCAGAAAAGCATTGTATATATCTAAACATATGTGTTCTGTTATGGTTCAGTGAATATCAACAATTTGTCTTTATAGTGYTGTTTAAGAAAAGTACATTAGATAATCATCTGGCAGCCTTTAGGAGATGGTTGATGCAAATATTTCAAATTGTTTTGTCATGTTTAGCATTCTGAAATTTTAAATTTTCATTGACAGTGAGTGAACATTAGTCAAAAGGTCAAAGAAAGATTTTCTACATTCATTGCACTCTTAGTTATTTCACTGTTTGAAGTTATCAATAAATTAATCTTAGAGGCAAATATTAATTGCAAAACAGCATCATTTTAGTCAGTGGTTTGATTATTGTGAATTTCTAAGTATTGATTCACAGTTTTAAAGTACAGTTGTAATATAATATGCATATCTCTTTACCTCCATTCATCAATCATTACCAAAGAYGTATAATTCAAAAAATACTAACTTAATACTGATCCTTAAAAGGCTGGATTACACATAGGTCTATTTTTATTGAAAGTATTTTTATCACAGCAAAGTTAATATTTTAGCAATTTGATTATGGAATTTAATTTGATTATAATTATTAAGCTATTAATGTAAAAACAATAATAAAGTAAAACCAGTACTTAAAACTAGACTTTGGTATATTCTCCGCTATATCTCAGTGTGTTAGCATATACAACATTACTTTATTACCCTCATTAACATCTACTACAATTTTGACTGAAGAAAAAATAAAGGTTGTCATCATATTTATGTTGATATTAATCAAAGTATACTTTTACTTTTATAGATCGCGAGAACCAATCAATATTGTGCACGTAAGTTGATTTTGCTGCCTACATTTTGCTATTATAACTTTTTTATGTAAAATACACTTTTTTATGTAAAATACATTGGGTAATAACTGTGTTTACATGATAATAATAATATATTAATAATATATATATAATATGGGAGTATAGAGACATGGTTTGCCTCTTGTGCACTCGAAAACAGCAGAAAAAATCTACATGTATTAAAAGAAATGTAAAGGACCAGTTGTGTATCTATACCAATATAAACATGGTTGATTATATAGAGGACTTTACAAAATAAGAGAAACATTTGTTTTTCATCATGTTTTAGGATAGATACATGCATGAACATTTTATAGGATTAATCATTTTTATATKTTTCAATTCACAGAGGAGAATCTGGTGCAGGTAAAACAGAGAATACCAAAAAGGTTATCCAGTACCTTGCTGCTGTAGCTGGACATTCATATGGAAAAATGCACCAATCACCACAGAAAGGAGACAAAGGCAAAGGGGGCCATAGTCAGGTACAAAMTGCTCTGCAATTAGCAWWKTTTTGATWAAATAATRATAAATAAAGACTTTCCTTAATTTTGTATAATGATATTTTGGAACAGGTTGAATTGGAGMGACAATTGTTGTCGGCGAACCCTATCTTAGAAGCATTTGGTAATGCCAARACAATAAAGAATGACAACTCATCTCGTTTTGTAAGTGACAATCTAACTTTATRGTAGAAAMAACAAGAATGTRGTACTCATTTGTTCATTGATTTGACAGGGAAAATTTATCAGAATCAACTTTGATGCRTCTGGATTCATTGCCGGTGCCAATATTGAAACATGTATCCTTAYTGATGTACTATCATTGTAGTCATGACATGATTATTATATTCCTACTCTCTTTGGCACATTTAAATTTCCTTTTTCATTCAATTTATATGCCAGAATTTCCTCATTCATGCATTCTCCTCCACATTCTAGAGTAAGTTATGTTGTCTGTTTACAATTTTGAAGATATTTCAATTGAGCATGTGAACACTATMTACACTTGTATGATATTAGCTGTTAATGGTTGTTCTCTCAATATCCTGGAGATTTTCCTGAACTGCTTGCATAGATTTGCTAGAGAAATCCAGGGCAATAAGACAGAACAACAATGAAAGAACTTTCCATGTGTTTTATCAGATGTTAGACGGGTTGGATTCAAAAACTAAAGGTAATAAAATGATATTGCAGTTCAATTGTTTTTGCATCTAGACTGCTCAGTMCAGGCATTCAATAAAGAGCATAACAATAATGTATAGATTTTGAAGTTAACTAGTGAAGATATAGAAGTAGTTTATTATATGAAATAATTTTGTGTTTGTACATGTGTTTGTTAACAAGATATTTGTGGTTTTAGGAGAGTTACTGCTGGGCAAGCCTACAGACTACAAGTTCTTGTCCAATGGTTCCATCCCTGTACCCAGCATTGATGATAAGCAGGAGCTTCAGGACTCCATTGTAAGTATTTGCAACTGTTACATGATAATCACATATCTATAACTAGTTTTTTGGGTATACTGAAATACTTGTTGTTGTAGAAATGTCTGAATGATATGAACCTAGCACAAGATGACGTCAATGGTATGCACRTTGAAAGTTTGCTTGATTTATCTCTTCTCTAATTATTGAACTTCAAATTTCATCTTTTAGCTAATATTTGAAGGGTTGAAAGTAGTCTTATSTACCYGTTCTGTGATTGGCTGATGATAAATTACATTGTTATTTGATTGGTTGTAARCYTGATTTAGCTGTCATTTGATTGGTTSTTTTTCTTATCTGTTCTGTGATTGGTTAGCGATCTTATCTAACTGTATATGTTCATTACCCTTATGTTTTCAGCACTGTTTAGAGTTGTATCAGCTGTACTTCAATTTGGACAATTGGTTTTCAAGCAAGAAAGAAACTCTGATCAGGCTATTTTACCCAACAATGAAGGTACTTGCTTCTTTCTATGATGTCTGGGGTCACTTTTATGGATCAATAGTGCTATCCATTGGATAAATTCCATTCAATACAATGAAATAACTTTATCCATTCATCATGCGACTTGTCTCAGCATATTATCACCAMTGCATGTTGTTAATAGTAATAATAATATTGCACTTACATGTATGATGATTTTGTTACAGTGGCACAAAAGATTTGTCATCTTCTAAGCATGCCTGTAACAGAGTTCACCAGAGCAATTTTGAGGCCCAGAGTAAAAGTAGGAAGAGATTATGTACAGAAAGCAGTCACTAAAGACCAGGTAATATCATTATATTATGCCATTGAATTATCTCATTCTAATACTGGTCCATCTTTAGGCAGAGTCATCTACAGAGGCCATTGCTAAGGCCTTATATGAGAGAATGTTCAAGTGGGTTGTGGCAAAAATCAATAGATCACTGGATCGTACCAAGAGAGAAGGAGCATCCTTTATTGGTATTCTTGATATTGCTGGTTTTGAAATCTTTGATGTAAGTATTTTACTGCTCTTTGGGTATTATTATTATCTATCATGTAATGTGACATTCCATACTTGATGTAAGTATTTTACTGCTCTTTGGGTATTATAATTATCTATCATGTAATGTGACATTCCATACTAGATGATCCAGTGTTCTCCTCTTTCTGTGGAGTCATTTCAAGCACGTTTCATTTTTGTTCTTGTAGATCAACTCCTTTGAACAACTGTGCATTAACTTCACCAATGAAAAGCTCCAACAGCTGTTTAATCATACCATGTTTATCCTGGAACAGGTTAGTCCACAGCACACGTGACTAAAACTTGCACCAGATTGTCATATTTTGTATTATTGTTGTAGGAAGAGTACAGAAAGGAAGGTATCGACTGGAAATTCATTGACTTTGGTTTGGACTTGCAACCTTGCATTGACTTGCTCCAGTTGGTATGTAGTAATCTTCCTGGTCGCCACTATTATAGCATACWATCATGCTGATAACAGTTRACCAAAATTAACAATGTTGATAACAAAAATAAWGATGTCTTTCCTGTATTCATCAGCCCATGGGTATCTTTGCTCTCTGTGATGAAGAGTGCTGGTTTCCCAAGGCAACAGACAAAACCCTGGTTGAAAAACTTGTGAAGGAACACAACAAGAAAGAAAAGTTCCAGATCCCAGAGTTCCGATCCAAGGCTCACTTTTCTATAATCCATTATGCAGGACGGGTATGTTGGTTGCTAGGCAWTGATGTAGGTTAATATTCAAACTAATACATTGTTTCTATGGCAACAGGTTGATTACAACTGTGATGGCTGGCTTCTCAAGAAYCAGGATCCATTGAATGACAACATTACTGCTCTCATGCAGGCATCAAGTGAYTCATTTGTTGCTGGGCTCTGGAAAGATGCAGGTTGGTGAACCTGACATTTGCTGCTAATTACATCCTGTTATCAACAATTTAAACAGCAAAATATAAGTGATTGATAACTCATTGATTATATTATTCAAATTTGCTCTGCATTTTTCTTTTTTTAGAGTTTGTTAGTACTTTTGCTGCCCAGACTGAGACACCTTTTGGTAGTAGTAAAGTACGTAAAGGAAGGTTCCGTACAGTGAGTCAAGTTTAYCGTGACCAACTGGCAAGACTCATGAACGTCTTGAATAATACCAACCCCAACTTTGTACGATGTATCATTCCTAACCACGAGAAGAAGGCAAGTGTTGTGACAAAAATTATTGTAAATCAAGATTATTTTCACAGTAATAGTGGTATTTTTGTTTTGTAATAATAAAATTGTTTGCTCATGTCATCGCTGTGCTCCATCAGGCAGGGAAGATCAACTCTAACCTCGTTCTGGATCAGCTAAGATGCAATGGTGTACTTGAAGGTATCAGGATTTGTCGACAAGGTTTCCCTAATAGAATGCTCTTCCAGGAGTTCAAGCAAAGGTGAGTTAATAAGGACTATTTCTCATTGTTACATTATTGCACTTGCTGGTGATATACTGTTTGAAAATGTTATCTTGTGTTAATAGATATGAGCTGCTTACACCWGGTGTCATTGCCAAGGGGTTCATGGATGGCCGAAAAGCATGTGAAAAAATGGTAAAAAATTCACTTTATTTCTTTTCTTTTTCTTTTCCTTCTTTTTATTCAAATGCAATTGTCGTTTAGATTCGCCATTTGTTAACTATCTTCTTTCGTCACAGCTTAAATTTTTAGAGATGGACTCCAACTCCTACCGTATTGGTCAATCAAAAGTGTTCTTCAGAGCTGGTGTACTTGCCCACCTTGAAGAAGAACGAGATATTAAACTAACCGAAATCATTACCATCTTCCAAGCATTCTGCCGTGGAAATATTGCTCGTAAACAGTACCATAGACGTGTCCAGCAACTCAGCGCTATCCGAGTTATTCAACGTAACTGTTTGAGTTACTTGAAACTGCGTAATTGGCAATGGTGGCGACTGTTTACTAAAGTCAAACCATTACTTAACGTCACAAGACAAGAAGAAGAACTAACACACAAGTCAGACGAGCTTAGAGTAACGAGAGAGAAAGTTGACAAGCTTGAAACGGATTACGGCGAATTAGAAAAGAAGCACAACCAACTGGCTGAGGAGAAGGCCATTGTAACAGAACAGCTTGAAGCAGAGCGAGAGGCTTTCTTGGAGGCTGATGATATGCGCCAACGACTYCAGACAAAAAAGACAGAGTTAGAAGACCTATTGAATGACCTGGAGGGTAGAATAGTTGAAGAAGAGGAGCAAGTTATTACATTATCAGAAGACAAGAAGAAACTGCTCAAAGAGATCAATGACCTAGAGGACAGGTCAGATGTGTACAATCTCTAGATATATGTTGAAGTATATTTCTTAGGTTTGGAAATGTCTGCATCCTTCAAACATTGTGTTGTTCACCATAATTTACCTGGTCTAATGATTTTTAACACTGAGTTTTGAATGAAACTTCATTTTTTTCTGCATCTTAAAGTATCTGTTTTATTTCAGTTTGGAGGAGGAAGAGAGTGCRCGMCAAAAACTTCATCTGGAAAAAGTCAGTTGCGAAGCTAAAATTAAAAAAATGGAAGAAGATCTTAGTCAGGTTGAGGACACGAACTCTAAGGTAATTTGCTGTTAGTATTGTATCATAACCTTCGCTGTTTGTACTCTATTATACTGTTWTGCATTCATTGATGCTGATATTGATAAATGGTGTTTTTGTTTTATAGCTTTCCAAAGAAAAGAAATCTTTAGAGGAAAAACTAAGCGAAACTTCACARGCTTTGGTTGACGAGGAAGAAAAAGCTAAATCGCTTGCAAAACAGAAAGCAAAACAAGATGCAGTGATTGCTGACCTAGAAGAACGRCTAAGAAATGAAGAAAGGGTAAGCACAACCCCTCCCATCTCTCCTGGGTTGTGATTTATCCTCGGGAATGATAAGGGAATTGTTGTATTGATTGCGATGATCGATAATGATGGTAGTCTAGTATGAAGAAATAATTGTTGCTGCTGTTGTAACACACAGGCTCGYCAAGAATTGGAGAAGATACGTCGCAAACTAGAAGCAGAGCTGGCTGACGTTTCTCGTCAGTTAGAAGAAGCCAAACAACAGGTATGTTTGTATTGTGATTTACGTCTTCTTGTCATTCAATACTGACTGCACTTGTACTTTAGATACAAGAACTTGAAGCAACCGTACATAAAAAAGACATGGAGCTCAACGAGATCAATGCCAGGTAATCATCATCATCATCATTACCATCACTATCATAAACCGATTTTAGATACAATAATGCAATACAAATACATTCTTAGATTCGATGAAGAGTCTGCCAAGAGAACCGAATTAGAAAAAGTCAAGCGAGAGCTTGAGAGCATGGTGGATGAGTTGAAAGAAGATATAGATGCTGAAAAGGGGGCAAGAACAAGAGCAGAGAAACAAAGACGTGAACTTGAGCAGGCAAGTAATCTTGACAACAACAGCATAACCACGAAGAGTAGTATTTACCAACATTGCTGCAGTGTTTGATGGAACGATCTGTGATATAACACCATTAGCTAATATTTCACCAGGATGTCGAAATATCTTCGATCGTGGTTGAGAAAATTCCACTGAAATTCTAGGAAGTCATCGCGATTTCTATTTGATAAACAACCAACTTTAAATCACTGCATGGGTTTTGTTGTGTTTAGTTGATATGATTTATTGTTCATCAATAACAGGAACTCGAATCCCTCAAGTCTGAACTCGAAGAATCCATTGACACTACTGCTGCGGCTACTGARATGCGAACCAAGAGAGAATCTGAGTTGGTCGCGCTGAAGAAAAGTTTGGAGGAGAACGAAGCTGCGCATGAAGCCGCCATGGCACAATTCCGTCAAAAGAGCGCACAAGTAGTCGAGGAACTTCAAGAACAGCTGGATTCTGTCAAAAAGGTAAATAMGTTTTCAGAGTTTGATCGTATAAAGAACTGAATTAAATCTCTTCAATGTAATTTTCGGTATTGGAAAAGTATTAATTGTTTGGTCCTGCTCACTGACTTATATTKCTTGATTCTTCGAATTATTGATTTTCTTTTTGATCCCAAATAGAGTAAATCAAATCTCGAAAAGAGCAAGGGTAACTTGGAATCGCAGACATCGGAGATGTCTATCGAGATCAAAAGTCTTCAAGATAAGAAACAAGATCAAGATCGAAAGATTAARACTCTTGAGACGCAGTTGACAGAGGCGAATATTCGCTTGACTGACGACGAAACCAAAGTATCAGAACTCCAAGATATTAAGCTCAAGCTACAGAAGGAAGTCGAAATTTCGGTGTCTCAAGTTGAAGAATTTGATTCCAAGTGCAGTCAACTTGAGCGATCTAAGAAGAATTTGGAGGATCAATTGGCTGAAACGCAGGTATGGTTGAATGAATGGATGGGATAAAACAGTGGAAAATGCATAAGTGGGATATGATTATTGTTTAAGCCATKGATTGAAAATCTGTTGTTGTTTTTAGGATCAACTTCAAGACGAAACTCAAGCTAAATTGTCGCTTGATTCCAAACTGAAAGATGCYGATCATGAAATCAGTCGCCTGAATGAACAAATCGARGAAGAAGAAGATGCCAAACAAGCTTTACAGAAACAGATGCAAAGTGTGCAGACACAGGTAGGATTTCTTACTATAATAGTTTCCATTTATCAGTCTTCAATCTTTGCCATCATTCTCTAGTTGCTAGATGCCAAGAAGCTATCTGAGGAGCGTGCTGTYGCTCTGGAAGACGCTGATGTTGTCAAGAAAAAGATGATTCGAGAGATGGAAGGACTACAGCAACATGCTGATGAACTMATGGCCACCAACGGAAAACTGGAGAAGGCTAGAAAGAGACTACAAAATGAGGTTAGTCATAGGCTTGTTACTTGGAATTTACTACTCTCTAGTTTAGGTGACACAGCAGTTTTTTGATAGAAAACATTTTGATTGTTTTGTGTAATGATAAGCTGTCAGTGAAACTGATCACTTGTTTCAAAACAGGTCGATGACTTACAATTGAATCTCGACAAAGAGAAGAGTAACGTTGCAAATCTAGAGAAGAAACAAAGAAAGTTCGACCAGGTAACACAACTACATTGCCGCATAATGTGTGATAATATTTCCATTCAAAATAGAGCAACAATTTTCAACTTTTGTGCTCATTTACGTTATTTCCAGCTCCTGGCTGAGGAAAAGCAAGTTGCCGAGAGATACTCGCAAGAGCGCGATAAYGCCGAAAGAGAAGCCAGACAAAATGAAACCAAAGTAATCTCGTTGACTCATGAGTTAGAAGAAGTACAAGATAAACTTGTTGAAAGCGAAAGGTTGAGGAAAGTTGCTCAGAATGAATTGGAAGCGATGATGGAGAGCAAAGATGATTTCGGCAAGAACGTCCACGAGCTGGAGAAGGCCAAACGATCTCTGGAGCAGCAGCTAGCTGAAATGAAGCAATCATATGAAGAACTTGAAGACGAATTGCAAGCCACTGAGGATGCTAAACTCCGAAACGATGTCAACATGCAGGCATTGAAGGCTCAATACGAGAGAGAATTGCAATCAAGAGATGAACAGAACGAAGAAAAACGAAAAGGTCTTCTGAAACAGGTAAAGGCGTTTATAACTATTTAGAATCCTCACAGACAAATCCMWACAGTGATTGATTTTTTTCTTGTCAGCTACGAGAACTTGAGGCAGAACTAGACGAAGAACGTAAGATGCGTGTGAACGCCGTCAATGCCAAGAAAAAACAAGAAATGGACATGAGAGAACTAGAAGATCAACTTGAAGCCGCCAATAAAGTCAAAGAGGATGGTCTACGACAACTCAAGAAGTATCAACAGCAGTTGAAAGACATTCAACGTGATCTTGATGACGCGCGCCATGGTAGGGATGAAATTGCCGATCAAGCCAAGGAAAACGAAAGAAAACTCAAACAACTTGAAGCTGAATTTCTCCAAATGCAAGAGGTAATAACATCTGAACAATGTTTTGTTAGGTTTCGTCTTATCTTTTCTTTCTGGTTTCATTTATTAGGACTTGGCCGCAGCTGAACGAGCTCGAAAGACAGTGGAACATGAGAGAGATGAGCTACAAGAAGAACTTTCAGCTCTTGCTGGCCAGCGGTAAGTGATATAGAGAAAACTTTACGCCGTCGTTGCTATGGTCAAAAGCGAAAATCTTACTTATTTAAGCGGCAGGTATCATTGGATAGTTAACTAAGCAGTTGTTTTCTTTGCCAAACAGAGGTATTTCAGCTGAAGAAAAACGAAAACTGGAAGCTCGTATACAGGCTCTAGAAGAAGAGGTGGACGAGGAACGAACTCAAAGTGAATTGGCTTCTGACAAATACAAACGCGCCATGATGCAGGTAAAGAACTCTCCCTAATCCAAAGCGACTATGTCTCTGCTTGTATACAGCCACACTTACACCCTCCCCTCCCCTCCCCCTCCCGAGATATGATGTCCACTGTCACTGTAGTCASTTCGAAATATATAGAAACAAACTGTGAAGTTTTAAAACTTGATTTGTTGTTTTAGATGGAACAGATGCAGACAGATCTCAATACAGAACGCAGTCAAAACCAAAGCTTGGAAAGCGCCAAAGCTTCCCTCGAAAAACAGGTATATTATTAAAACGGCGAAAGTGGTTGGATGATATGACTTGGTGATGATGCACGATGACGTCACACGATGACTGTGAGACTTTATGACGTCACATTATGATTGTGAGGCGTGGTWCGGGCATTGTTCTCTGATTACTATATTGTGTTTTACTAGAACAAAGATTTGAAATCCAAGCTTCAAGAGCTTGAGAACCAGACACGTGTACGGCATAAGATGGCGATGGCTGCTCTAGAAAGTAAAATGGCCACATTGCAAGAGCAATTAGATCACGAATCTAAGTAAGTTTGCCGTTCATTGATGTAACTGTACTACATACAATATCTAGGAAGCAATGTGTRAGTCTAATARTAAACTTGTAATTGTTCTACAGGGAACGTGCTTTAATGGCAAAAACAAACCGCAAAATGGACAGAAAACTCAAAGAACTACAACTTCAAAACGAAGAAGAGCGAAGACATGCAGATCAGTACCGGGAACAAATGGATAAACTGAATGCTCGCATGAAGGCTTTGAAGAGACAAGTTGACGAGGCTGAGGAAGAATCAAGTCGTCTGAACTCATCTAAACGTAAAATGCAGCGAGAACTGGACGACGCACTGGAAGCCAACGAAGAACTGCAGCGTGAAGTGCAATCAATGCGGAATCGATTACGGTAAGGTCACGTSACTGGAAAATCCCYAATGCATTCATTGACGTCATTTTACTTCATTCATTGTGAATGTCATGTGCACTATAACTTAATATACAAAGGATAATATAAAAATACAAGATGTTCTCATATGTATCATCACTTCGTGTGTCTTCCMGGTATTTGTACCTTTTAGTCGTGTTACTTGTTGTTCAGTATTGTGTCGTGGCCATGTTGTTCATTCTTTTCTGTGTCTTGCATGATTTCAGTTTGCTTTGCTTTGTGACTAAATTCTTTCCTTTCTTTTCTCAAAGATAAGAAAGCTCTCTAGAGCTTCTCGTTTTATCTGAGGTAGTAGTTATTGCATGTTTACTACTATTGTATTTGATGTTTTTTCTGTATTATTTTTCGTGTCTTCGCAACTGTTAATTAACCAGTCTACAAAGAAAGAATCATGTTCAGTGTCCATGGCGATCTTATCTTCAWCTTTTCTTGAAGTCCAAAAAGAGGAATCAAATCGGGTTAAAATTGGACATGTGATGAATATTATTCTTTGTAAACTGGCTGATGTTGCTTTGGTCGTTGCGTACTTCGGTTTTGTTGACAGTGTTGTTGTTGGTTGTATTCAGTGCTAGTTGTAGTTCATGTTGACGTTGTTATTGTGTTCGTTACCGTATTTTTTTTCGATATTTCTCATATTGTCTTTGTAAACAGGGGACGCGGTGGAGGAGGAAGAACAGGTTATACAACGCCACCTGATTCAAGACGAAAACCGCGCGACCGAGCAGGAGTGGAACCGATGGAAGGAGACGCCTCTGCTGATGTTCCCGAAGAAGATTAAAAAAATATACTAGTTTATTTTATAGTATAGAAACTGTAATGTTTTTTACCGTTGTTTAAGTGTCTTGAACACTACCCCTCATGATTACACCAATCCCTGTACTTAGGATATTTAAGCAAGACCTAATAATCGTCCACTTTGACTCAAGTCATTGTTCTTATTCAAATAGCAAAGCAAATATCCTGGTTTAGTCAAATACCGCAATGGTTAGTTTTTGATAATCAAACTGCCTAATAATAAACTAATAATAGGTCTTTTATAATTCCAAGTATTCTAACTATTTTCTAATTTAGTCAATATKGTTTGGTATGCCATGGATAAAGTTAAATCTCTAGTTTGGTAAATAAGAGTCAAATAGAGCCCAGGCAAGGTCGTGTAATTTCTATTTTATAAACATGAGAAACCATTAAAAGAGATTGYTGCTGACTTTGTCTAAATATACGTGGTGTTGTTTTTAGTATATGGGTCGAGTAGTTTGTCCCACCCACCACATCCCTGTTGTCCAAAAAGAAATGAATGAAACCCTTTGAAAACTGTTAACATGCACGCMAAGAAATACATAAATCATTGAAAGGCTTACATGTAATTTCTTCAACTTGGCCGACATGATGTAGAAGAAGTAGAAGAAACGGTTAATTTATTCAACACTAGTGGGATACCTGTGTATTTGCTCCAGTCCTCGACGAGACTACGACTGTAATGGCTGACTGAAGAACCTTGAAGACGAGAAATGTTTCCTTGATTTCAATRGGAATGGATCATGACAACTAAAAGGCAATCTTTACATGTAAGAATAGATAGATGCCCATTACTTTTAAGGCAAGCTTATTACCATCAAAAGCAAAGTTATTGAGCTTACAGCATCAAAATACGTTTTCAGCTGTTTTGCTGACAAATTTGTTTTTATATATTTCCGATTCCAAACAATCTMGAGAAACAAGGCTTGCAAAACTGAAAAAATAAATGTTCAATTTTAGTCTCAGAGTCCAACTGAAACCTGGACAGATGATCTACCTGTGTGTAAGACATCTGGTGTGGGTTTCCTCACCAACCAAAGATACAGGGAAGATGGAGGCCGCAGAGAAGAGCATGAATTTGAGGACAGGAGCTTTCATTTTAATGTAGACAGTACATACTTATATGGAGTATTTGATGGGCATGATGGGGCAATTGCTGCAGATTTTACAGTACAGCGTGTTCCTGCTGAATTATTGTTAGGGCAGTTGGCAGGTTTGTCAGAGTAGTAGCCTGTATTGCTGGCAGTCTGTTGTTTTAGGAGCAGGAGAATACCATTGAAACTGCAGAACGCCAGAAATATAGTCTATATCGGTAGTACCAGTAGGGATGTGTTGATTTAATTCTTGTAATTGTGKTTTYCTTTTGTTGTTTAAGATGACATGACAGATGAGGAGATACATGTTCTTCTTCGTCAAGCATTTATTTCTGTGGAGAAAGGTTTTTTTCAAACTATCGATGATATATTGGCTGAAAGGACAGAGTTGCAGTTACAGATTCCTGATGTAATTATAGCTATTTCATGTGAATAATGTTGTTTTTTGGTTGTTAGACTTAATTTTCTTAATATTATCATTGTTATTCTATATTATTATTTCTTAGGGTCTCAGCTCTTACGAAGCATACCATMAGTACCCAGAACAAGTAGCTCGYATTCAAGAGCTAAATGATAAAATCAGTGGTGGAACAACAGCTGTAGTAGCTTTAATCTTTAATAACAAATTGTAYGTAGCTAATGCTGGTGATTCAAGAGCTCTGCTATGTAGACAGGTCGATGGGACATCACTAGAAGTTGAGCAGGTAACAAAAGTGTATAAGCACTTCTGGTGTACTTCTGTTTACTAGACAGCAARCAATSTTTCAAACATACTTAAATTTAAATATTTACACTATTCGTATTTKCTGGTTTTAGTTGAGTGTTGACCAYGACACCCAAAATGAGAATGAGCTATTGCGACTAGCCAGACTTGGCTTGGACATTGTCCAAATACAAAGAAGTAAGAGAATAGGAAGCCAGGAAAACACACGAAGTATTGGAGATTATTGTGTGAAAGGAGGCTACAAAGACTTTGACATCTTGAGGTGAGTATGTTTGTAATTATGTCACTTCATATCTTGACTTGACAATTATAACAGAGTATTCATTTGGCAGAACCTTAGTTCTGAAGTTAGCCAATCAATAGAACTATCAAATGTATGAATAAATATACCACTTTACTGTTGACTTGGTCATTTAAATTGGGCTGTAGAAAAATTGGTTTATTGTAACAAATTATTTAGATCTGTTGTTAAGCTCACAACTTATAATGATTCCTTAAATTTTTGTCTTTGTTGTTTATTTGTTGTTGTTTTTTTTGCCAAACAGTAAGGCAGCAGAGGAGCCAGTCATTGCAGACCCATACATTTGTGGTGGTATTCCTGTTGACAAGACATTTTATGCTCTTATTCTCATGTCTGATGGTGTATATAAGTGTCTAGAGGAAGCTACAGGAACAACAACTGCTAACTCTGACATTGTGACAATGGTTGCTACAGAGTTACAGTGTCAGGCAACTCTGAATGGAGTAGCACAGGCTGTTGTTGATAAAGCAGGTCGAATCCATCATGATGCCTTCATGCAGCAACCAACTACATGTCACAAGAGAGATGATATGACATTATTGATAAGGGTTTTTGATGAAGAACTAACTACTTGCCTGAGTAGCCCAAGAGGTGTTAACAGACAAAATAGTTCAGGTACTGTTAGTTTTGTCTTGATTATTTCATTGTCATTTCGTAAGCTTTCTGTCATGTATTGTGTAATGATCTGTTTACGTAAACTTGTTGAAGCTTATTCAATAGCCGACTTTAGATATTTTGGTTCAGTGACCATTAACAAAAGAATTGCAGACGAGGCTCCTGGGAAATTAAAAAATAAATCAAGATTATCCATTGTTTTCTGTGAGCCTGGTGTGTGTTCCTTTGTACATAGTCATTGAACCAAAATATCTAAGGCTGACCAYTGTTTTTTCTTCAAAATGGTTTCAGTGTTTCAACCAACAAGTCCTGGAGTCTTACCTGTGTCTGTTCCATTCAATCCTTCAAAGACAAACTCTGGTGCAGCTCCAACTCTTAAAATTCCTCTCCCAAAACGAACATTCTCRCAACAAAGCAGTCAAGAGACTTCATCTCCTAGCTCTACCACATCAACACCTACAAACCCAACTACTGTCAATCCAACAACAGTTCATTCTAGTTCAGAACCATCTTCGCCAARTACRTCTCCTTCTTCAGCTAATCCTCTTGATAACACTGTCCTTGGGACAACTCAAGAGGCTCAAAGTATTGAAGGTGATAGTCAACATCTCTCACTTGGAGATGGCGAGAGGGTTGAACCGTATGTTGACTTTACAGAGTTTTTTAAGGTTGTTCAAGAACATGGAGAGGAAGTGGTCTATGGATGTAAATATACAACTTAGTTTTCATCTTAGTTATTAATGCTACGGTGCAACCTGTCGCATTAGGTTGCAACAGTTAAATATGAAATATTTGTCAAAATAATGGTTTTAATAAACATGTAAATTTACTTCAAGGAAAGTATCCATGGAGTTTTTGTTACATAGTTAATTCATAACATTGCCTACTGCCTTTGACAGCTCCCATACTTCTATATTTCTTTTCTTTTGTTTAAAMCAGATATTCTCCAATCAGAGTGTTCTTTCCGTCTTATGTCAATTTGTTGTCGAAATTTGATTATTCGCTTGGGATTCCTATAGCGAGTTGACCGTGGAAGACTGCTACTATTTGCATGGCAGCCATCTTGGATGAACGTTCATCAGCTGCCTGTGAACTACGTAGCGGCAAATTTGCCAGGTAGAATGAAATTCTTCCAAGAGATCGCAGTTCAAACAGACATTTGCGGTGTCGATAACAGTGAACTAAAAGTCCTTTTCGACAGAGCCTTGGATCTTTGTAAAAATACCAATTCAATTGGTGTAAATATTTGTTCCTCACATTTGTGTATTTCACACAATGTTACATATCGTGTTACCAATGCAGAAAGTGTGGATCTACAACCAATTCCAGTGGTAGAGCTAAGGTTAATTGACAACCAAGATTGCTCTCAAACTGWTCTCACGAGTATTCAAAGTGAAGAAGGTGATCAAACTGGATTAGATTCTTCTGAAAGCATGCTTGAAGACAGTGCTAAGGAACCTATGGAAGAAATGAAATGTACATTTTGTGGTAAAGAATACTACAGAAAAGGGCTTTACGASAAGCACTTAAAAATTCATCAGCCTGGTGTTAAGCAGATGCCAGTAACTGACAAAGGCATAGATGAGATGTCAGGAGATAMTTGCAGTGAGGATGAGGATATTAACTCCACAGATGACCAAATTAAACCAGGCAAAAATAATAGTAACGAAAAAAGAAACAAAAAAGTTACTTGGCAATGTAAGCTGTGCAAAGAGATGTTTACAGACAGAAGGAAATATGAAAGACATATTAGAAAACATAAAAAGGATGAGAAATCTAGGAATGCACCCAAGGTAAAGAGCATTAGAGTACTTCATGAGTGTGGACAATGTAAAGAAACATTCACCAGCAAAAAGAAGTATGATCAACATATCAGAAARCATAAAGTCAAAAAGCCACCTTTGAGTTACATTTGCCCTCACTGTAATAAAGATTGTAAAGCCAGGACAGCCTTATCTAGACACATAACTGTTCATACCAAAGAAAAGAACTTTAAATGCCATATATGTGAGAAGTATTTTGGTACTGACCAGGGTTTAACAATGCATATAAAGAGACACAAGGGTATCAAACCTCACAAGTGTTCACATTGTGACAAGTCRTTTGTCAAGAAGTGGGGCCTGGTTGAACATTTGAGGGTACATACAGGAGAAAAGCCCTAYAGATGTGATATTTGTGACAAGTCCTTTAGGTTTAAAAATGTCTTAACAAGCCACCATTTATCAATGCATAGTGGCATCAGACCATTTAATTGTGAGATTTGCGGACAAGGTTTTGTTCGACAATATAACCTCGATGAACACCGACGGAACCACACTGGTGAGAAGCCATTCAAGTGTATAGATTGTGGTAGGGCATTCAAAAATCATCGCAACTGGAAATTACATGTGAAGAAACACAGGGAAGTAAGTTCAGCAACAGGAGTTGAKCTAGATGGCAKTSTTGAGGGTGAAATAAGGACAAGAGAGACTGAATCAATGTTTGACAGCAGCACAATTAAGGCTATAGAGTCATCAAGCAGTGCCAAGGCATTGGAGACTGAAAACATGACTAGCAGCACAATGGCAGCTTCAGAAACTCARGCTACCYTKGCATGCAGTGAAATGATGGCTCAAGTAACAAGTATTTCAAGCAATGACATTTTCACTGRCCACACTGACTTATCAACCATATCCTCAGATGAGATTCTTTGAAGAAAATACTCAAAACGTTAAGACAAAAGTTGATATATAGTATTTAGATGAGGTCTCTAAATATCTAATGGTCAAATAAACAAAAGAAAATTAGCACRATGAAATAATTATAAAGGCTGATTTACACTATTCAGCTTGCATGTGTGATCTAAAGTGTCAGGATTTTGAGCATACACAAGTTGAAGACCACATTCATATTTTTGTAGGAAGTCATTGAAACACTAAGATGTGGTACTGTAAGTCATGATGAGCCGCAAATCACATTGTGTAAATCAGCCTTTAGAGTGCATGTTRTTTTTATACTCTACCAAGTTGTTTTTCAGTTTTTGTCTGCMWTTKKYMAWTACATGTATTTCATTAAAGATTCATGAGGTGTTTAAGACTGCCCTGAAATGTTGTAATTCTCTTTACTGCATAGAAGACAACTTGACAAGGACAGTGTACTTTTTAATTGATAGTATTTACTAGCAAAGATATTGAGTTAGCTTAGTACAATAGATATACCAGAACTTAAAAACACTTTTTTTAAAAAAAAAGACACCCACTCAATTGACAATTAAACAATATTAATTTCTAGAATATTTTTGTTTTTGTTAAATTCTTCTTTTCGAGATGATGCATGGATCTGTACTACAGTAGTGATCTTTAATATGTAATATGTAGTATGATATAGTATTATATAAACCTATAAATCTAATAAATGTCTTTGACAATAGTCTAGTAATTTTCATATGTTTGACTTCAAGCCTGGATAGCAATGTATCCAATGATTTTTACTATCATTCAAAAACACCTTGGTATTAAAGTGCTATTGAAATATAATCTCATCAACTTGACTGCTATATTGTAGGAAAATATAAAAGTTTTAGCCCTTGCATACAGGAAGGTTAAAATCCCCAAAGATATTCAGTTCAAACAGTGTGGCAACTGATATAAAGGCAAGRTATAGCAGCAGAAATACTCCACCAAGGCATTTGTTAAGACGCCATTCATTTAGACCAAATAGGAAAACAGTAGCTACAACAGTTCCAAATAGTGATAGAGAKGTGTAGAGRATGCTGCCACTTACTACTGTAACTGTRCTGTTGAAGTTMACAACTGTTGTCTTAAGTAACCAAGGAACTCCTAAACACAGAAGAATATCAAAAATATTGCTGCCCACTGTGTTGGATACTGCCATATCGCCTTCACCTTGACGAGCAACCAATAGGCTTGATATTCCATCAGGTATACTGCTGCCTGCTGCTAGAAATGTTAAACCCATAATGACATCGGGAATTTCTAGAGTATATCCAATAATTTCAACCATCCATACCAGTAAATAAGACAAGCCAGAGATCCATACAACTGACATAACAAATGTCAAAAAGTACCATCTTCTCCATCTTTTATTACGACAATTGGGAAYTGTAATAAATAGCAAGAAAGAAATGGGAAGAAATGTAACCCATGACARTGCATTYACAAAGCCTGTGGGTTTAGTGAATGGAGACTCATTGTSTTCRCTGCTGAATGATACMACATCAACTTCTGTAGGACTAGTTACACCTGGGTCAGTGGCCTGAGTAGAGTCCTTGAAATCATCATTATCRATAAGGGACTTATTTTCTTCTTCATTTGATATGGTAGCTACATTATCTTTATGATGGAATATGCCAATGAAGAAAGTYTCCAGTCTTGTGTTCAAGTACATTATCAGTACATAAATTAGATACATTAGTACTAGAACAAGCGCTTCATACCATTGAACTTTCTTATCATAGGTGACTATAACAAGTGCTGCAATGGTCAGCATATAAAACACACAATCACGTGTTAATGGCCACCAGCCAAGCTTGAGTACTCTACCGGAAAACAGACCACATATTGCAACGATAAAAAGTATGTTGAAGACAGCGGAGCCCACTATTGTCCCTAGACCAATATCTCCTTTAGTGATAAATACCCCAATCACGGAAGTGAAGAATTCCGGTGCTGAACTYCCTGCAGCCATGAATGTTGCTCCAGCTACATCATTCTTGAGGTTTAAGTCCTCGGATATTCGTTCTAGTGATGCTACAAAGTAATCATCRCAAACGATGGCTAACCCGCCGAACAAGTACAGARCAATTAGAATATGTACAACTACTCCTCCTTGACGGCGGAGATGTTGCGACATAAAGTCATTGGGAAAGTCATTGATAGACGGTTCAACACAGTTAGTATTTGGTTGCTTGCCTTCTGCGGAATATGAAAYATTTCTTGACCTCATTGCGACGTTGCGTGGCAAACGCTGAACTTTACTGGTGAAAGTAGTAGGATATTGCGATAAATCGGCATGGATAACACTGTTCCTTACATACAAAGTAGGCAAAACAAAACAAACCACAACAGCTGCTAAGAGGAACCGTAATGTAATAGACTTTCTAGACTCCATCTCCGAGCCACCCTCGCCAGCACAACTCAAGTTGAAACAGGAATTAATCGCAGCGTGATCGATCTGTCAGAAATAAATATGTCGAGTGATATAAGTGGTTCACGTGGTGTCGTGTGGGAGGGGACGGTTGGGTAGCAACCACGAAGTTAATAATAGTTTTAGATCAACATGATAATTCCCTTGGTTGATAAACTGGTTAATCCAAGTATATTGTTCACATTTACTCTTGTCAATTTTCAAAAAGATTACCCAATAGTTGTTTCAGTGCTATTCATCCGCCGAGCGATGCCTGATTTGCAATGCAAAAATGGCACTTTGTTGATATTACCATTTTTATTAAACAAATAAAACCTTAGTTTGATTCTATTATTCATACAATTAGTTATTGTCAATTAATCGATGGCTGKTTTTTTTATTAACAAGAATTTCTAAATCAAGGGTATAACACCATATCCGTGCYCTAACACCTGTTATTTAAGCTAGGATATTACATGCCCCCGCGCTCATTTGAATAAATTAATCTAAAACAATTAAGGGGTCGTACTTGTGAAAGCCATAATCTTAGATGCAACTAAATCTGTACTTAAAAAATCTGTACTTTTATGCGATATCGATACCTCGAGTGTATCCATTATAACTCTCAGATAACATTTAGAATTCCTCTATGGAAGGGGGGAGTTGCTGATAGTGGGGGAAACGTTTCTACATAAAGGCAAAATTCTTCTGTCTCTTCACACAATTTGACGTCATAGAAAAATGTTGTTTTGAGCGTAAAATAATCACTGAGAAACAATAAAAACTCGTCAGCTGTCAGACTTCCACTTTTTTTTTATTTTTTTCTCTATATTCACTGTGTGACCTCCGGACTCTATTCAATGATACTTATTTACATTTGCAATGTGAAATAGTGTGGTTACTGATCTAAGCTAGAGTTCTATACATCGTTCTTTATATATATATATATTTATGTATGTTTTTTTATTACCTAATTATAATTATATGACAGTATTTTATAGTTTAGTTCCGTAGATTTTTATATTATATTTTATAGCTTTATCGTGGCCAGAGCTCCCATTGATAACAGAAGTGCACATGCAACTGATGGCCACCCTAAGCTTTATAATAAATAAAGGTTTATTCATTCATTCATTCTAGWTAGTCAACAAGTGAAAGGGGCCGTCAGTGCTTAGACACGCTGTCCTCTAGAGACCAGTCTATCTTCCTTTCCGCTCTGTGTGTGATTGAATGGACCATAACATTTCCTTCGATGGATTGTCGTTTCTTGGTAATAAATAATTGATAYGTTTAAGTGACATGACTCCTTCCTAATGTGTTTTGCTTCATTTGCAGATCCTGATAACGTTTCTCCCATTCTCTTTCAAATCTGTAAAAATCATTTTCTAAGTTCATGACCTCCATTTTCTGTCTTGCTATAAGCTTCTCCCAAGGCGTGTCACCGGACTCAGGGAGGGTGGGAGGAGAGACTCTTATCTGAGGTTTATTCACATGCGGTCGTTTTAACTGCTCTATGGTAGCAGTTCCACTAACTGAATTGACTGGGACTTTCCTTCCTGACGTTGATACATCTGCCAAAATAAATCGATGTTGGTCAGTGTTTACAAAGGTGCACCCCCCCTCAGAATTAATAATACATTATAGCCGATAGGTTAACACTTTTTAGTGACCTGGTGACGAGGAAGAAATAACGTCCAGGTAATTAAAAGGAAATGATGTGTTTAGCTACCATTTTTATATCCAACATCTGGAAACGGGATGTTAACATGGGTGTGGTATATCTAACAGTATATGGGTACCGTGGTTTCTTGTTGACTGATGCATTATTTTCACCTGTATCTGAAGTTTCTTTACTCGTCTGTAGACTGGGCTGCTTGACATGATGCGATTTCTTGTCCTGTTTTGTTGGTTTTCGATACTCCCAGATAAGCCCAATGATGATTGACAAAAAGAACAAAGCCAAACCCGAATAAACTGAAATACTGAATATACCTCCACTACCAAAATAGTCTTGTGCTGGTGTTATTTGGATCTAGTAGAAAARATATTATCTAAATCATACTTTGCAAATCAAGGCGGGTAAATTAACATAAGGATTATGTTGTATAAAGGCAAAGAGAAATTTCAAGTGTCTGTGTTACCTTTTTGCCTCCAACGCCTTTTCTTAGAAGTTCAAATCTCCACACTTCTTGGACATCCATAAAACGACGGAAACATGTCTCTAGCTTTGAGGAGCCGTTGCTAGGCAACAGTACGCCATAGCTGACGTGGTTGGTAACTACCGTTGCTACGACAATATGCTGTTTGCTTGCTAATCTTGGCATATGATGTTTTAATGCATGGGTATCAACCAATGATGCTTCGACGTCACGATTTATCATCCTATCAAATGCTTGCTGCTGGTTGTGAGAAGCTACGATTAGATCAGTAATTATTAGAGGGTTATTGTATACTTGTCTGTTTGCTGAACAGGGATGGAAAGGGACGACAATACTCACCGATGATTGTTTTACTATTACTTCGTATTGCTAACGTGTGTTCTGCACTCTGATTCACAACAGAAACCTGACAAGAAAAACGTTAAATGGGCTCCTGCAAATTCAAGGGGACTTGGTTGGATTTATAGTTGGGTTCCCTGTGGATCGTATATTGTATAGTTGGGTACCCTTTATATTGTATTTTTGGGATCCCTGTGGATTCATGTGCTTACCGTCATTTGTCTTATATCTGTATATTGTGCGTAGCTGGCWGTGGTAAGCGATGTCGTTATGATACTRATGAACATAGTTACGATAATCACACCAACCAACATCCAGATACTTCCTAATATTTTACCAACTACTGTCTTAGGAGCCCTGTCACCATACCTGAACAACAATAAGCAATGTTAATCGACACGTTGTCACTAGTCTGAATAGAAGTGCGAGAAAAGGTGGTCGTCGTTGATTGTCATTTGTTGCCGTTGTTTTGTGTGCTGCGGTTGTTGCTGATGATGACGTTGTTGATGCTGTCATCGTTTTTGTTATTGTTGCTCGGGTGTTGACGTTATTACTGCTACATCTATTAGTTCCTATTTATTGCTGTTGTCAAAATCCATGAATATTTGTTTATATAATAATCATAGTTATCATCATTATTGTCATCGTCAGCAGTCGACAGTAATTGTCTTTCGTCACCATCCAATAATAATGTCTGTCTAAATATTCTTAGTATAWGCCCACACAATACGTTCGTGATAAACATGKCGCTTACCCAACCGTCGTCATAGTGCAAAAAGCCCACCAAAAGCCTTCAAATATACCCAAACAAAAGCTCTCGGAAAACTGATTAAACTTGCCATTTTTCTCCTAAAATAAACACAAATAACTATAAGATACCCTATGTATGCCTAATTTGATATTTCTTAATTTATCTTTTTACCTGATAAGGACCTCTTTTCACAAGGTTGGAATAATCAAAATACAATCACGCGAGAAAAACACTCCTATCTTCCAGTAATTACAGTCGGYTTTATTTGTTAGCTGTACACATACTATCGAGAACCTATGGTAACTAGGATACTTTAACAGCTTTCGATATACTACATATGACTATCTACCATCAGGTGTATGTCTAGGGTTGAACACACTGATACCTTAAAAACACGAAATGTAAAAATTAAAATTAAAAAAAGAAAACAGAACAAAATGCATCACTTTGGTTCTAATTTCCATTGACTTGATTTCAAGATAGCACAATGATAGATTTAATTCACCTAAAAAGTTATCTTTCGATCTATAGTGCTGGAGCTATCGATTGAAACAACGTATGAATCATGATGGAAGTACTGAAGTACAATACTGCTGACAATCATATTCGGATGAGAACATATATGACGAAATATTAGATGCAATTATTCATTGAAAATACTTATATAGCCACTTATTAGGTAAAAGTATTTCACAGTATGACAAGATATTACAAGTCCACATATATTAATAGTTCAATAATGATTTTAGGGTTTTAAGCACATTTGATAAAAGTGACTGAAATCAATCTATTCCTAAGTTGTTTTCTAAAAACAATGATTATTGAACGAGGAACAATTATTAAAAACAGCTCGTAAGTACAATGCCATATCGATGTTATTAGCCTTGGGGAATATTACGTCATTTGCCTTTACCGATATCTACAATATATTATGTCTGCACAAGATAGAATATCAGTGGGCTTAAAGTGCATGTATAGAAAACCGCAGATATAATGAATTATTTAAAGGATAGCTTGAAGGCTTTAGTGGAGAAGGTAATTATAAGGATGGACATAAATGAAAATGTGCCGCAACATCCTCAACGATGATTTTCAGATGTACGAAACAAATACAATGAATCTAGTCATTATAGATGGTTGAATGGACGAACAAACGACTAAGAAATAAATGTAAAAAATRAAAAATAACAAAATGAATAATGAATTCATCAACTGATGACGATTGAAAGGATTTTAATATAAGTGAATGGATGAGACTAAGAAAGAAATAATGAATGAGTAGAAGGATGATGACTGCAGCACATCATCCGCGGTGATAGATAGATAGATGAAATAATGTTACATTACCAATATCCACATAAGTACGCCAGCCAATAACGCTGATACAATGATAAACACTAAAATAGGCCAAGCCTTTAACACTGATAAAAGTAGCTTTGTACCAGAAGCGTTGGACGGCATTAACACTGCTGCACCCGCTGACTGGGCAATGCCAATAAAAGGAGATCCACGTATACTTGATGACTCTGGTAACCCATGGACAGGGACTAATAGATCAAACAATCCACCATCCAGAAGTCCTTGGAGTCCTGCTGGTCCTGATTTTTCTTTGACAAATTCAATATTAGGCGTTGCCACGCAACAGTTCTTCAAAGCTTCCTTAATAATAAGAACAAAAAATCCTTTTGGCCTGGAATCTTGTGGCGAAGACTGGTAAATATAAGGTTGCTTATCCCAGAAATACACTCGAATYGTTTGGTTGTGTAGTTGACATTTCTCATCGATTGATAACGAATTTGAGGAAGAAATTTGAAAAGAAAGAAATGTCATGAAAACGAATACCCCTTTCATGCCTTTTGTCCTTGAAATGAAACTTTCACTCATTCACGCGTAGTTTTTTGACGKCGTTCTTCTCGTAGTTTACCATTTACTAGCAACGATTATGAGCGAGCTAGGAAGAAAAGGGTTCGCCAATTAACGTTACGAAGTGCCAGCAGCGGAGAGAGGCACCTCATGAATTAGTCATCAGGTGTACTATGACAGATAACACAGCGGTGTTTGCGAAAGCTGAAACGTTATGAATATCATAATCAATCCATTTCTTAATGGTTCATGCAGCACATAGAAGAACAACCCACCGCACACCAAAAACAAAGGCAACGTTATCGAATCCATTTTCTTGGACAAAAGTTGAAGTTGATCTTTGAGCTTACATGTTGAAGGTTATTAAGTTTTGATTGTGGTGATATGCCATTGTGGGATCCAGGTTTGCTAATCAGTTAATATTTGAAGGTGAATATATTAACATGAACGAGATTCGTACATGGACAGTCCAAGACTGGACTAACAACTTCTACATGACATGAACATAATGAACCATGTCAAATGTTTATCGCGTTTTCAGTTCATTTTAATAAGCGAAAAGCAATGAACATATCGAGGAAACATTACATATAAAAAAACTGGAATGAAGAAAAACACTCCACGATAAAGGTTATCTATCTATGATAGAACTGACTACAGAAAAGTCGATTTTATTGGAAGAACTCAAGTGATGTTTACTGCGTATCGACGAAAAGGGACGTGGAATATCAAGAGTATTTTTCCCGCCTTACTCGTATTGCTTTGTTTTGAGGAGATTTACTCGTCTTTGTCCAACGCGTCTAGTATAGATGAAGCGTGCTTTAACGGTACTCAGATCACATTAACATGGACAAACAGTTCACCTTATGTATTCGAAAAAAATGGACGAGCACAAGGAATACTAGTGGATATCTTAGAAAAAGGAATTTCTATTTGTTGTAAAGTTGGTACTCAGATAAACTACCAATATACAAATATGAATGATAGCAATTTTAAAAATCAATCTATAGACCATCCACATATACCAATAAGTATACTGTCATATAAGAAAAGGACGTCTTTTGGTCAACCCATCGTAGGATTAGTCGATAGTCCAGGGATTGCTGTTATTACTCAAGCTACAGTACCTGGTGCGGATCTGCTCATGGCAATCCTCGATTCATGGCCTATTCTCATATTTATTATTACAACCATTAGTTTGAGTGGAGTCATGATTTGGCTTTTGGTGAGTTTTTAATAATGTATGTATATATATTTTCATATTCTAAACCGTTCTGTGGTACAATAATGAAATTATCACCTAAAGCATGTCCATCGCGAAAGGACCATAAACAACATYGGCARAAGCTTGAAAACAAATGTRGAATACTGGAATCTCTTCCGGAGAAGCTTAGTTCTCCTYTTTGTATTACGGCTTACAATCAACACGAGAATTGACTTTTGTGMGGGGAGCAAAAGAATTAAATAAAAGTCCATAACTGCAAAACCACAAATAAAATAAAAAATCAAAGAATTATCAAAATCACTTGCCCATCTTAATCTCTCTTAACAATAGTTTTCGAAAAAGAGCCTAAAAGCGAAAAACGTCATAACGTGAAATCAAAATAAGAAAGCGGTCTTAAACTTTGATATGCGTTTAATGTCGTGGCCCTTACAGCACTAATGCTAGGACTGATGTTTTGTAATCATGCATGTTGATTGTAATTGTGATAAACCGTCCTTTCAAACTACGTTCGTTTTGGTATATTCTTTCCTTAAGGACTTGTTGTTTATTTATCGCCTACAATGAAACGTTCTGTTTTCACAAATAAATGGATTTCAAACAAATTCACAAATAAAATGTAATCCTGAAGAAAGCAATAAAAAGTCGTTAAAGCCAAAAATTGCAAAATGAAAAGAATTACTCAAATAATCCATATTAAATGGTTTTTTGAATTAGCGRACACAGATGACAGTTCTCTGGCGGTTCACTCGACGCGTCCAACTTTGAAACCAGGTGTAAAGCATAAAAGCTTTATTTGTTATATAGCAAAGAAAACTAAAACAATCAAATATTTATAACTTGTGATAATGTGCGTTCGCTAAGAGTTTAGCAAGCAATGTACCTAGAAATAAAGCTKATTGTACTGAGAATGCTATAGAGCTGAAAACGATAGTTAGTAATTGTCACTAAGCACACTACTTAAATGCAAAATGACCGGTTATGACTCAAAACAGAAACTATGACAACCGGCAATTTGTGTGTCAACCGTTCAAACAATACCACATGAATCTCACATGACCACACTACACAGCCACTATATCAAAGCAATATAATTGCTGATTTCTAACTAAAATAATTCTGGTAGGATGATTAAAGTATTTGAATCTTTATGCTTCACGAGACTGTTATCATACAGATCCCGCAGTTATAAGCTTTGGATGTTCCCCTGAGATACATTGCCGTCTGAAATCGTATTATAAAGACCAATGAGAGTTCTGGGAATTCCCTTCACAAACTTAGATCTTTATTCCCTTCTCTCCTACGATGCTAGTGAGGTCAGAAAATCCATGGAATGGGCTTTGAAGCACCTTAATAGTGATTTTTTTCTGATTATTTGGTGACAAGTTATTCKGGCTTTCTCTCATGGTACTAGTGTCCAACTCAGTAGAATAGAAAGCTTATCTTATCTACTTGACAAGATAGATATTATATTGTGCATGTGTATAAGAATGAACAGTGTATGAAATACAATCCATGCTACTGGACTACTACACTTCACCGTAATGTCCGCCATCTTTAATGAGGCAAAAAGGGGGAATTCTTAAGTTGCAGATTTTGCTTCAATTCAAGATGGCGTACGTTACCGTAAAATAGCCTATGCAGAAGTGATAATATCTTAAACATGATATGATGTTTTAAGGACTATAAGAAAAACTCGGCACATTTTCCTGCTTTCTTCCCGATGGGTGTGTTCGAGGGATGTTGGTGGGCAGCTGTGACCATGACAACTGTAGGGTACGTTTACTTTTGAATTTTTGATTGACCATTAGTTATGTCACGTGACTAAGTCTATCGTATTTGTTATGCAGATACGGAGACAGGGTTCCCAAGAGTGTTGGCGGTCGTTTATTTGCAGTTGTATGGATCAACGCAGGATTRGTGATTCTCGCTATGTTTATGGGTATTGTTACAGCATCACTGACCTCGAGTAGTTGGACAGATATCAATCATTTCTGGGGAATTGAGGTGAATAATGTCATTTAGTAGAAGTGTTGTTTTTGTTACTAACCAGAGTGTTATGTTAAGGTTGCTGTTATTAATAGATCAGCTGAATATCAGTTTGCAATTCTTCAAAGTGCTAACGTTAAAGGTAAGAGTAACATGATCAGGGGGGACATTGGTGTGCCTCGAACATCGCAACACGGCTTAAAAAAAGTTGGTCGACATCGAAACAAAAGAWTTGAATTAGACGTTGTCACGTGATTTACGAAACTTTAAATTGATAAATGCCGCGAATTCTTAATGCCCCCCTCGATCAGCCTCTTTCCAGGTCCTTTGTAGTCAGTTRGGGGTTAAACCCCCCAAGCAAAGTGAACGAATCAACGTAATTAAAGGACTAATGTTTTTTTTTTATTTTACCAGCTCAAGATTTTTATGAAGACATGTATTCTAGTGTAGCGTCTGGGATATCTAAAGTAGCCTTGGTTGATGAATACACAGCAACATGTCATAGCGACTTTTTTTACCGGCACAAGTTAACTATTGCTACAATAATAGATGTTCCTGTCGTAAATGGCATCTTGTTTCCATCTCAAGGAACACAGACTATAAACCAGTGTCTGTATAGTTATGTRCAGTCTTACAAGGTTTCAAGTTACTCGTATATCACAAAACATCTCACACAGCACCCGGTAAGTTACGTAAGCGATGATTATTGACTGGCTGATTGGTGCGTTGATTGACAGTTTTATTTTTAGGTGTCTGATATCAGTGACGGTACAGAATACTTCCGCGAGTCAATGTTTGGGTACTCTGTGTACGCTATGACTGGRTTGTTTCTACTMATATTGGGAACAGGYATCCTGTGGCAACACTATTGGCAGCCGCGACATGGCGAATGGAATCAAAGTAAGGGTTAAAGACATCAATATAAAATAGATGTAAATCATGGTACGTTATCAATAACTAACATTATTCTTTGATAAGATACAGCTATGAAAGAACTAGAGATGACGTCAGTCAGTCAAATCAAAGGATATCCTAGAGTGAACYATGTAGCGCATGTACAAACTACAAGATTAGGTGAGCCCAGACCACATTGCTCGCGGACTCAACAATGTATGGSCATAAGACAGCTGTTAGACGAATATCGAGAATACGAGAAATCATGGACTAAAAGATTTATATATTTGCAAGAGAAACATAGAAGAGAGCAAGTTGAAGTCTTTAATCTGGATAATGATGGTTATAATATGTGAGATGTATGGTGCATCAAGGACCAAGGAGTAAAATAAAAAGTGCYGGGGTAGGGCTGTTTCTAGGATTTGGAATCTGGGGAGGGGGGTGAAATCTGGGGGAGAGGGGGGTTGTAAGTTCAGGGGGCGCGCTACTATGTTTCCAACGTCTGTGCGTGGGATCCCTGTAAATGATACACATCATTTGCTTATTGTCAATACAGAAACGAAGCCTTTAATGTCAGTCTACCAGTCTATAATGGAAAAACCTGAGCGTAACCTCTGACAAAGGAATAAGGGCGCAACATAACTATTTTGCAGATATTATCTATTTAATGGGAAAGTAATTATTTTTCAAAATAYGAAAACAAAAACATTTTTTACCATGAATTTATTCTTATTTGACTCCAAGCGGGACTACAAGGTCCGTAGGCTGTATTGACAACGTGTACTTCTATTATCTTGCAAAGCTAAAACTCTATAAAAGCTATAAAACTCTATACGCGGCGCATGAAATAATAATGACAATTTAAGTGTTCCCATCAAAGAAGCTAAAGTAGTGCATAAATGGATTTTACCCTGAATGCGACTGAGGTGCAAATATTTGCGACATTCTTTCARTACAAATCATTTTCACATCTTTTCAACCCATTCAAGTGGCAGTGTTAATACTTAGGAACAATATTCGACACATTTACCAGGGTTCGTTTAAAGACTTGCCCTTATAATTTAGAGAATCTGATACATTACCTATTTTATTGTATCCGCGATGCGCCCAAATTGCAACTCTAGTGCCATCGCATGCCTTACTATAATGTCTTGGATCGGGGGGAAGTAGATTGTGGGGGGTGGGGGTGGGGGTGATTGAGTCTATGTGGGATATACACAATTTGTGAAAACCTCTTATAAATAAAATGATCGCAAAAATATTGTGACTTTTTTGTTGATATCTAAATCGGGAAAAAGAAGTACGTAAAAGGGGTAAAAACCACTGAGGTTTTGGGCTTCTTGTGTTGTTAGCGAGGAACGCCTGTCCAAAATTGTACTGCGTAGCTAGGCGTTCCTAGCCGCTCCGAGAGAGTTTGGGCCTGAAGGGTACAATCAGTACAATGCTAAGATTTTCACGAATTCTTTGTAACTATAAATTTGGCATTCCGTTGGCTTCTAACAGCAAGGTAGTAAGACTGTATTCGATGTACAGTAGTGGTATTAAGAACAGTATGGATAGCATAGACGGTATTCGTGTCATCGATGTTCGAAGTGATACAGTTACAAAACCCACYTATGAGATGAGGCAAGCAATGGCCTCTGCTGAAGTTGGTGATGATGTATTTGGCGAAGATCCAACAGTAAACCGTAAGTATTTTCGAGGAAAGAGDGGCAGTATCGTGGTGTACGGGAAATCCCAGGGGTGTTTAATATTGTAATGTGATGTAAATTTGACGTATGCAAATTAAATTCCGACGATTATCCGTATACACTTCGTTCTTATTAGTCGGGCTAGCCGTAGTCTAGGTCGACTTTAGTTTTACCCATTTGCCAATCTATGTATCTATCTTTGTATGTCACGTTTGAGCTAAATTGCCCATAAAACAGTGCCAGTACAGGTGACGTCATCATAACTCTTTATGGATTTAAAATGACAAGACCTTCTTATATCATTACTATATCCATAAACTAATGTATCTTTTATACTAGAATATTTTAATTCGCTTACAAATGTGGTAACCATTCTAATCTTACTGAAACCATCTGAAGTACACGCACGTGCAGCTGACATAATAGTATCATGCATTCTACGTTTGTTACATTTTAAACAGTCATTAAGATTCTTTTCAAGAAGAGCTTTTAAAGAAGTGCTTTGGGGAGGGACAGGAAGCCCAACAAAAGGGGAGGCTGCGAAGGAGACTATTATAATCATTAACCAAATAGAAAATAGTACCTAAAACTGAAAATGCAAATGCAGCCATACTACTGGAAAAGATGCCAGAAAAAGATCTGACTTTGGTCGGGACTGACTTTGTATCTAAGTACCTAAAACATTTTATTAAATCATTATTAATATTCTATCATATGCATATAGCATCAAATATCTTATCTTTTGTTAATAAGGTCTTCAAGAAAAAGCAGCAAAATTACTTGGTAAAGAAGCAGCTCTGTTTGTRCCATCAGGATGCATGGGAAATCTCATTTCCAGTACGTACTGACAATGAGAGTGATTGTGATGACTATTTTTGTATTATCAATGTATTTGTATTGTCTAGTCATGGTTCACTGTCCTCATCGTGGTGATGAAATTCTTGTTGGGGATAAATCTCATGCCATGAAATATGAACAAGGATCATCAGCTCAGGTATTCAACTATTSTCAAATTACTGTTTATAATGAAGCCTGGTTTACGGGCAACAGTTTATTTTGCCTTTTTGGGATCYCTGTTAGTGTGGTATCTGTTTCCAGCCCAAGTCTCCTTTAGAAATGAGGAGGTTCTGCTGGCTCACAGTCAGTCCCTCAGTCATACTAGGAAGCTTGAGAGATGAAGAAAAAAAATAGAAAGGAAGAACAAGCTCACAGTCTACCAAGACTTTCATGTGTTTTGTAGTTGTCATGTAGTTTTAAAGCGCTTAGAACAGAATTGGATAAGCGCTATATAAATAGCATTATATTATTATATATATTATTATATTAACAATGTCTGGAACACCACTGCTATACCTCCCTGATGTCAATGTATCTATTTCAAGTTTAGCACAAATATAAAAGTTTCAGGCTGATGGCACAGGATATCGTTCACTAAGGATAGAAACACTGAGTGTATATGTTCATAAAAGAATATTTATTTTCAGTTTGGAGGAGTGTTTTCCAGGCAGGTTTACACTAATCCTGATGGGACATTGGACTTAGATGATTTAAAAAGAAAAATAAGTGATGGTGTTGATTGTCATTCCACTCATACCAAAGTCATCTGCATAGAGCAGACCCATAATGTTACTGGAGGCTGTGTTTTGCCACTTTCATATATCGATAAGGTAAAATTGTGGTTATAGAAAGAGGACTAACAACATATCAACATACATATTGTAGTACATTCTTTTGGAGACATTCTTATTATACTYCTTTGTTCGTATATCTCTGTATAATATGTATCTGCAGATCTATGTGCAGATATGTGAGCATCATTTGAACTGATCTTTGATGGTTTTGATCTTTGATGTATACTGTATTGAAAATCTCTGTATCTGTTGAGGGTGTTGTTTATGCTTTGTCTAGATCAATGATATAGCTAAAGCCAATAACTTAGCACTACACATGGATGGTGCAAGGTTGTTCAATGCTGTTGCTGCCCTCGATGTTCCTCCTTCAAAAATAGTGCATCACATGGATTCTGTCATGTTTTGTTTATCAAAGGTTTGTTGTTAAGCAAACTCAACCCCTGTAATTCGATTAATCCACTTGATATTCATAAGTCAATTTGATACACATTTGATCCACTTGATATACATAACAARTCAATTTGATACACAGTGTTATATATGATTGTTAGGGTCTGGGGGCTCCTGTAGGATCCATGATTGTAGGCTCAAAAGAATTTATACAAAAGTGAGTATTAAAATGCCATCTTCATAGGTTGCTGTCTTTGCATGGAAGACGGGGGTTGAGTACAAGTCTTTGTTGAGATAGATAACCTTTTATCTTACTAATATGCATCAATTATTGGAAGGTCAAATTTTGTGTGGAACTGGCATTATACTACTAGGTCACCAGAAATTTCAACACTTCAACTGTAATTAAGTGTAGACCTTATTTGCATTTCATCAATTTTGTAGATGTCATAGAGTAAGAAAAGCTATTGGTGGAGGAATGAGGCAAGCTGGTRTTATTGCTGCYGCTGGTATTTATGCACTTGATCACATAGCACCTAACCTTATTGAAGATCACAAGAATGCTAAGAAACTTGGAGAAGGTAAAGTAAGATTGCTCATGTTATGATGACTTCTCAATATATGAAAAAAGAACTATTCAATGAAAGTATTGTTCCATCCACACAGTTAAGTGATGTCTGATTATTATCACTCTATTTCAGAAATTGACAAACTCGACGGCGTTGAAGTAAATCCTAAAGTCATAGACTCAAACATGGTGTTCTTTGATGTGACCAGTGCTAAAGTGACAGCTGATGATATAGTTGAGAGAATGGGTACATGTACAGATGACAAAGAACCATTTATAGTAAAGTTATTGGCTTTCACTTCAAAAAGAATACGAATTGTACTTCATCATCAGGTCCTCACTAGCGACATTGACAAGATAGTACACAAACTAAAGAATGCTTTACAGGAATAATGATTGTTTTAACTTTATCCCTTKCCATCATAAAGGGGTTAACCATAATATGAATTCTAGGAATAATGGTAATTGATTTTAACCCTGAAATTTTTGAGAGAAAACATTTAAAGAGCAAAGCAAATAAACTGTTGGGGCTGCTAAAACGAAATTGTCCACTACTGACAAAACCGGCTGTAAGAAGAACACTATATCTTTCTCTCGTTAAGTCACAGTTGTGTTTTGGCTTGCAAGTTTGATCCCCTAGTCACATCTACCTACAAGGCAAAATTGAGTGCGTACAAAGGAGAGCAACATGCTGAATCTTACAAACAAGGGTCGGGGAAATGACATATAAGGAAAGACTTGTTATTTACTACCATTAGTATACGATAGGGAAACTATTTATGTTTGCTCAATAATTAATTATTATTCTTATCTTTTCTTTTGCATTTCATTTGTAACAGCGCGCACAGTTTTTTTGGATTGCACACGCAAAAACAGTTTGATTTCAGTTTAAATGTGTTTTTGTTTTTGTAACGTCTTTGTGTTCCCTAAAGATGACCACTTAGGTCGAAAGCTTTGAATAAATTGTTAAAATTATTCATGGTTGATTTACCAAACTACTTGTAAATATTCCAGTAAATATTCCAATATTTACTAAAATAATTTTGGATAAAAAAAAACAACACAACATAATTCAAATATATTTTATTGGCATCAATAAARCAAGGATTATTGTGAAGGAGTTTGGTCTGTGTACCCAGCAATCAGTTAGCACAACATGAAACAAAAACAAACAAAGAATTAGTCTTAAAGGAAGGGATAAACACAGTCTTGTACAAGTAGCCACTTCAGATATGCAAACTAAGATGTTATTACCAAGCCATTACTACTACTATAGAAACCTGTGATGTCCTTGATACTATGCTTATTACTAGTATGTGAATATCAAACACTTCAATTCCAATATTTTCACAAAGAAACTCTGACAATATCAAGAGCATGTGCATGAGTGGCATCAAGGAGTCAGTATATAACACCTTGTTGCCAAATGATAATGGTCATAAACTTGAGCAGTTCCCTTTGTTAGAGTGTGGGACTATTGMCAACAAAATGTCACTTAGTTTTGAGTAAAAAATACCATTACTCACCTAATCTTCATCTTCCTCCTCCTCACCAGCATCACCGCCACCCTTGTGTTTCTTGGCATTCTTTCTCTTGACACGGCCTGGTCCACCACCACCATAGGGCGAGTTCAGAGAGAAATCAATGTGCTTTTGGGAATCCAAACGTACAATGAATGATGGGACATTGACCAACTGCTTACGGACGCTGCAAAATATCAAAATGTATTCATATAATTATATTTTATTTGCAACTTTATATAATTGTTCAATAGCAGATAACAACACAGTTTAATATCCTTGTCTGGGAGTAATTCCATTGAAAACCTAGGATTGAGAAATGATCCTGACTACAGCACTGCAGTATGACAGGCAACCTACTTCTTGCAAATTCTTCCCACCTCAGTATTCAGTTACACGAGTGATTATGTTTATAAGGACTTAGCCATCCTGACAAGATGAAACCCCTGTTTTGAACATCAAAACTTCTTGGATAAGAGCTGAGGCAAGCCACTCTAAATGATGGCATCCTTAATGATATGTAATCTCAGTCTTGGGCTGTATGAGTCTTGCAAATGGAAGCATAAGGGGGGGGGATGTTTTCTAATAATCKAAGATCTTAGATCAAAAAGGCATTTTTATCCTTGCAAGTGCTTTCAATTATCATAACATTAATCAGCACTTTGCAAGGATATAATACCTTGATTTACAACCCTACCGTATGTGTCTTTGTCTGATAAGAACTCTAGCATGGTGGATAGACTTGGCCAAACCGAGTTTGAATACTTGAGTTTGAAGCCTTCTCTCCAAGAAATCTTCAATACGAAGACCCAACACGTAATCTAGCTTCATTCGGCTCTCATCGAGAACACCAATACGAACTAGACGACGGAGAAGAGCATTGCCTTCAAAAAGACGACGAGGGTCTTTCTCTTCCAACGTGAGAAGTTCTCTGGCAGCTTTACGAATTTTGGCTAAAGAAAGCTTTACTCGCCACACTTCACGCTTGTTTCTTAAACCATATTCACCAATGATCTTTAATTCTTGATTTAGACGTTCTTTCTCAAAGGGTCGCCTAGGCGTCGTATAGGTTTTACTATAGACTGGTTTCGGCATCTTGTTGCTGATCCAAGATGGCGATGAAAAGGAAAGAACGATTCGATCACGGGGTGCTTACTACACGTGGATCAGCAATACTAATGACCCCCCTCTTAMAAAACACAGGGTGACCATAAATGTCGTGTTTGAAGATGTGAAATACAAAAGTACTTGGTTTTGAAGTCGAAATCGAAAGCAAGTTTCAGAAATATATAACGATTTATATCGGTTATCTTTAAAACACTAACTATACTTGAGGACTATCGAAAACGTGACTTTAGTGCGCAATTGGGATCCCTGTGGCATRCATTGAAAAGGAGGAAGTAGAGCGCATTCTTTTGAGGCTAGGGTTTTACAGTAAATACAAGACAGTACAGGTAAATGTTTCAGCATTACTTTTTGTCCAGTTTGTTTACAAATTTTAACGAGGGCCTGATCAACACACGAGAAATTGCAACAGACATTTATGGTAGCTTGCTAAGCATCCAGCAAAACAAAAGTTACGGAGGAGTCGAGGAGTCCTGTTTCTTGGAACTTCACAGAAGCTTCTGTTAAGTGCAGTAATGCTTACACTAGAAGGCTACTTAAATTGCTGTCAAAGTAGTTAGTAGAAARCATAAAGAATATTTTGAGATGCATTTTTTTGTCATTTTCGTATTGTAAAGAAGTGTTAAGTTGCAGGTCCATAGGCCCACTGAAAACGGGAGAGGCTACGTAGCAGTCTCAGTTGATGTAATATATTCATAAAGATATAATACAAAACACATAATACAATAGAASGAGAAACAATGGAATACAATGCATTTTATGAATACATAAAAAGGTCCCCCTACTGAAAACTGCCTCGCCGAGTAGGCTCCCTGAATAAATAAATATTATTGGAGACAGAACCTCCTGTCCTTATTTGAAAAGATGTGATAATCTAACCATTTGCAAGTGGAGAAACAAAGGCAGGGACACCTCCTCATTTATTTGAGTATTGGTCCAGTCCTCTACAAACTGAGAGCTAACCCCTTTAAAAACTATTATTATGTTACAGTCATGCACAAGTGTCATTAACACTACATTCACACACAATGAAGTTAAAAATATATCTTTATTACTCAGCTCTTGTTTTCTTTTATTGGTCTCTAAAACAACAGTGATTATTATAGTATACCTCTGCTCTGATATAATAAACAATCAATCCAGTGCAGATAATTTGAGTATGGATATATAATTCACTGCATTTTCTTCTTGCAATTCATGACTAGAATAAATGATGGAAAGATTTAAGGCATCCATGTTGTTGAGTGCTGCAGGAGATGCTTTGGGCTACAAAAATGGTGAATGGGAGTTTTGCTATCAAGGGAGATCGATTCATGAYCAATTAAAGGCAATGGGTGGTTTAAAGGATATCAAAGTTAACAAAAAGCAATGGCGAGTTAGTGATGATACTATTTTGCACATTGCAACTGCYGAAGGACTGGTATCTGATTGGTCCTCCAAAGAAGACTTATATTTGGCACTAGCAGACAAGTACAAGAGTGCTATGGTAGGGAGACATTGTACATAATTGAATCTTATCTATATTTTATAAGAAGCAGCTATGTGTGCTAAGTCAATAAACCATATTATCCTACTCTTAATGGTGTACAATTTAATGAAAGAAATTCTGATATTTCAACATCATGTATCAACAGAAAGACATGTGGGGTAGAGCACCAGGAGCTACAGTCCAAGCATCTTGTCACAGCCTTAAGCCAAACAGACCAAAGGGATATGTCATCCCATTTGATCCACGAGGAGGAGGATGTGGTGCTTGCATGAGATCAATGTGCATTGGTTTGCTCTTCAATAAACCAGAGCAACTTGAAAACCTCATTGAAGTCAGCATTGAAAGTGGGAGAATGACTCACAATCATCCTACTGGTAAGTTATGTACAAGTTGTATTGCCAGGAGTATACCATGGTATTTTTGACAAGTTATCACAGGTCTGTAAACATTCATTTTTAAGGTTATCTTGGGAGTTTAGCTGGAGCTCTCTTCACATCATATGCAATTCAAAAAAAACCTGTGAGAGAATGGGGTGCTAGTTTGATGTCAATTCTTCCTCAAGCCTTGGAATATATCAAGATCAATGGWAGAGATGTTGGTGAGAATAAGGCCAATTGGTCATATTTCACTGATAAATGGAGCATGTTTTTGAAAGAGAGAGGAATCCAAGATGGTGATAAAGATCCAACATTCCCTTCACTGTATGGTGTTGAACAACGGGACGCTTTTTACCGGTCAGTTAGTTGGTCAGGATGGGGAGGATCAAGCGGGCATGATGCACCAATGATTGCCTATGATGCTATGCTAGGTGCTGGAGGATCATGGGAAGAGCTCTGTGACAGAGCAATGTTTCATGGAGGTGATAGCGATAGTACAGGGGTAATGGCTGGGGCGTGGTGGGGTGCTATTTATGGGTTAGATAATGTACCCAAGGGTAACTACGAACATTTAGAGTATAAGCAACGCATTGAAGAACTTGCTGAAAAACTGTATCAGAAATCAGAGGCATTAAGTCAGTGACTAATCTATGGTGACTGCCAGTATGAAAGATTGGACTAATAATTATTTGTAGGAATGTAATAGTTMATGTTTGTCTATTTAGGAGAAGAAGACCAATGGTCATTACGGCAGTCTGTGTGCATAATATTTCTTTTTTATAAGATTAATCTTTGTAGATATTAGGAAGCACAAGAAACAAAGCTACATTATAATAATTTTTATTATAATAATACAATGAGACCAGAATATTAAGTATTACAAAAATTTGTAGAAAGATGCATATAGCTGTATAGTATATTTTAGACTTCTTTTTGACTTATCTCTTCAGCCTATGAAAGAGAGGTTGTGTACAATTGAAACCTTGATATGAATCAGTCATAAAAGATGAACACAGAGAAAACATGCAATTCTGTTGTATCAACTTATAACTGTACTATTGTAGGTTTACTCATTTACTGATAGAAAATTTTAGATTCTGAGTAATATCATTGGCAACAGTGTCCATTGTATCAAGTACAATTTCCAAATGTTTGGATTCCAATATTAAAGCAGGACGGAATCTAACGGTTTTCTCTCCAGATCCATCCATGTCAACACCTACAAAGATATCACATGAATATTAATGGTGCTGGTACTATTGATAAAGACAACAAGGGATTCTAAAGGTTTTCTAGAGATTTGTATCTTGCCTTTATTCCTCGCTGATGTCAAGAATGTTGTTCTTGTTTCCACATCACACATATCAATAGCACAAAACGTTCCAATGCCTCGCGCTTTAGAGAACAAGTCMGGATATTTACCCTGTGAATAAGTAAAAGCATAATTTCAGCATATCATAGGGATTCTGTCCTTAGAAAAGATCAAGATATTWATTTCACATTATCTAATCCACTGAAATCTAATAGCCTTATGAATATAATAACCCAAACCTCTAAATGCAACAATCCTTTCATGAGTTCCTTCCCAACTTCACRAGTCTTCTCTATAAGCTGGTCTTGCTCAATGATTTTTAAAACTTCACGTAACAATATCAACTTATTAGGGTCTCCCATCCAAGTGTTGAAAATTCTGAATGGCTGKGAAATAAAATTTAAAAATAAACTAAAATAAACAAAATTTAAAAAAGGGGAAATTAAAAAAACTCATGGTGATGACACAAGAGACACTTACGGCATGAGGACGAAACTCTGGTTTGTGAAAGAACCCACCAGTTGCCATCTTCTTGGAAAACGTCACAAAGTCTGGTGGTTCAGGAAGTTCCCAGTGATCAAGACCCCTGGAATGGAAATGGATGATAGAAAAGATAGATAAATGAATAGAGGGAAGTATAGGCAGATGGGTTGGTTGTGTTAAGTAGATAATTAACAGACTATTGACATACAGTATAGTATCCTTTTAGTCGTATCGTGTTACACTTCTTAGAGTAATCACTCGAGCAACACATGTGATATAGTTTTTACGTAACTTGATGGAATAAACGTGGCAAACAACTAAAGAAAATTAGTGTTACAGTTGGTGATAGAGAGGCTGGTTTGGATCCATACCTGTATGTGAATATCAACAAAGTGGTCAATAAAGAATTTCAATCAGTTCCTCAATATGCAAAAGATTGGCAGTCAAGCAACTTATTGGATCTGAAATCCTACCAGAACTTTCCTGTTGCACCACAGCCAGTCTGTACTTCATCAACTACAAAAGCTGTTCCATGCTGATGATACAAAAAAAAGTATTGTATCTACTAGTTACTAAACTGTACTAAATGCACAACAAGTCAATCATGTACCTTTTTACAAATTGCTTGAAGYTTCCTGAAGAAACCTGGTGATGCATGATTATCCCCTGTGGATGAACAAAACAGCAGAATTGACTGAAACAATGTTAAAAGTTTGAAAAAAAGAATGTTACTAAATTACCACTTTTAACACTATAACAGTGTTGGTAAGGGACAAAGGAATTAGTATATTAGTGATACTCTAGAAGTAGCACTGCAATGATACATTACCTCCTTCAGCTTGAACTGGTTCAATGATGAGTGCTGCAACATTCTTTCCCATATTATTCCAATCTTGAATCATTTCAGAGACAATATTCAAACATCTTTCCTCTTCTTTTGCATTCTCTTTCTCAAACTCCTCTAAAGGATACCTTAGCTTAGGGAATGGTGCAACAGGCCAGTCAAAACATGGTATGTCTACTTTATGGATTGCTTTGGAACGAGTTAAAGTTAGGGCACCTATAACCCAAGTAGTAAGTTAGGTAACTATTAAAGAATTAAATAAACTAGAAGTAAAGAAGTGACAATTTTTACCAAGTGTCCTTCCATGAAATGCACCCTCAAATGACATGACAGTGTAAGGTGTTGAACCAGGTAACTAAAACAGATGAATCTCAACTTCAGATAGTGCCCTTGCCTTTTTGTATAATTACAAGGGCCCTGCTACGCAGGGAACGTGTAGAAAAATGCTGTTGCTTTCTTGTTTTTTTTTTCCATCAATGTCGAAAGTTTGCTTTCGGTACATCACATAGCCAATTATTGTGATTTATATATCCAGCAGCCAAYCAACACATTACATTGTGGWTATGTTGAGTTTTAATTTAGATATGCAAAAATTTAGTGTTACCATCATAACAGGGAAAGTTAATAARGTGTCACGTTGTATCCAACTCRTGCCTAGTTATATATCTGACCTTGGAATTATACAGTAAAATCACAAGGCAGATACAGCTGAAATTTTAAGAGCCACCACATGTAAGCTTATCTYAAAAATCACATATGTCAAGACTCAGCGAAGGATCAAATCATTTTGTATTTTGTATCGAAAAAGGCTTAAGGCCTTATATTACTAATGATTTTACAACATCATGTACAACAAAGGGTACATGTCAACCCTGCATACAGTGTCTAGTTTGTATAAAGCATACAATTATTCTTAGTCATAATAGCTTGAGTATGGATTCCGACTAACCTTGCCCGCCATGCAAGTCTCCATGTCTTCAGATGTGGGACTAACATCTCCTCTTTCCTTATTCTGTAAAACATTAAGATTATATCAAATGCAATGTAGTTTGAACATTTGTTTAGATATCATCCTAAAAGAGACTTGTAGATGGCCATACAATGATGTGGACCTTCAAGAAACAATCTAGTGGAGATTAAGAAGGTCATCTTTTTCTTTCCTAAACAAACTCTGATTTTCTAAAAACAAACTAAAGACTTTCATTGCTATAATGATTGTTCCTTAATAGAACACCCAATGCAATGTTTTTGATCTTACCCTGTACCAAATAAAAGCTGCTTTAAGAGCATTTTCATTGGCGCATGTTCCACAAGCCATAGTTGTGACTTCAGAGAGACCCATGGGTGCTACCTTAAGAACTGATTCTTTCAGGTTTGTAGGCAATGTTGTRGGAGGAAGCATGCCCAAGGCAGAACGATTTGCTATAAATGTCTAGAAGAAAAATTCAAACCTTTAGATCTAACCATATTTTTCATATCATAATTTTGAACTTTGAAGGTTAWAACAATTAGTAATCAATCTTTCAAACTTACTATAAGGTCAGAGTCACTTTTAAGTGCTTCAAGGAGCCCTGGATGATTATAGCCTGTTAAGAATACAATTATCATTACTACTGAAGGTCAAGTCATTTGCACTATATGTTATACAATTTATGGGTTACTTTCAAAAAGGCATCGCCATTTTCTAGTTCAAACAGCTATATACAAGTTGTTTGATAGGTTCATACCTAGAGGCATAGAAGCAATTTGTTGGAAGACATCTAGAAGTACATTCCCATCAGCATCAACAACATAGTTACCAYGAGACTTTTCAAAATCAATGAAGTATTTCATTGCCTTTGGGGACTGTCATAAAACATTAAATATTATAAATACTCAGTTTTGTTCCTTCTACGTGTGTTTTAATATTCCGAGCTTTCGGACAACTTGTCCATCATCAGGGCAAAATGAAATTACAATGCGTGCGCATGATATCGCGTGGCAAGAGTCTTCAATCCTCGCCCAAGAACCTAGATGGATACAAAGACGCTGGCTTGAAGCTATAAAGATTTCAAAGAACAAAAACTGCCTTTTTAACAAAAATAGTGGACGAACTCTGCCTGATTCTTATAAAGAACTCTTGACACATTAACTAGTCTTAACATTCTATCCTTTTATTGTAATCCAATGATTTTTCGTGTAATTCTATGCACGCGCAGTATGTTAATTGATTTGAACTATTGCGCGCTCTTAAGCAGTTATGTTACCATAGTGTTTTGTTTACATTTGTATCCTCGCGTACGCATTGTAATTTCATTTTGCCCTGATGATGGACAAGTTGTCCGAAAGCTCRGAATATTAAAACACACGTAGAAGGAACAAAACTGAGTATTTATAATGAATCCTACGTACGAAAACATTTTAACATTAAATATTATATTCAATATTTAAATCAAGTGTCAATGAACCATAAAATCAATTAAATTGAATATATCAACCAATCAATCAACCAAACATATGACCAATCATTCAATAGTCTCCTTTATGTTTTCTTGCATCATCTTGATAGGTAGCTGTGTCTTTGCATTGAAGCAAGGCTGTGCAATGATAGATACCTGTGAATAATTGTCTGTAAATGCGAAGGAAGGTTTTCATCAATGCACGCTTCAAATCAAAGGCACGGCCACTTTTCAAGATAGTGCCAGGAACTGTGAAGGAGACTATTTATCAGATATCCAACAATCAATAATTAATCCAATTAACCATCAAAGTGTTYAGACAATCATCCATCCAATTAATCATACAACTCTTTTTTTAATCAATCAATAAGTRACCCAATCAATCATCCAATTAATCAATCTCTGCATTACTGATTGGATTACTAGAAGATTGATAGGATTATTAGCTGACTGATTCAAGTTCTCATAAGCCAATAATCATTCAGTCAATCAGATTTAATTTTTTTTCTAGAAAAGTATGTTTTTTTTTACCTGAATTGCTCCCAACTCTTCAAACAGTGCCTGCATACAAAAGACATGTCAATTATTTAGTAGAGCTCACAATGACCTCTTACCTAATCTTAGTAAATAGTTTTAATGTACCTGTGATTTTGGTCCAGGCACCACTGTTTTCATAGATGGGCCATCATATTCATAGTGTCTTCTAGCTGTAGTTGACAAGCATCTGTAGCCAACGCTGTATATTACTAAAAGGAGTCAAGATGACAAATAAAGTTTTGGTATGCAAACAGACCACAGGGACAGTGTATTGTATGCTATTGTAAAAACTGGGAGAGTACAGTATATTGTACAAAATTATCACGTGACTGTACTATTCTTGTCACAAAGGAACCCACTAAAAAACGACCATAAAAGTCGAATAAGAACTATTAATAATGGTATTATGTGCATGAAAAAGGTCTAAATGTTTGAGCATATTATGCACAGATTGTGCAATATTCACTACTCTAAATATTAATTATTATTGTTATTATTGTAGTCTCGTAGGCCCGGGATGGGCTTAGTCTATGTAGGTCATCGACCTATCGCAGCTTGTATGTCAACGTTACACATAGCCTTGCGTCCAAAACATTACAGCATCATTAAAACATGATAAAATTATTATTATTTTCATAATCAATAACTTACAATTCATAAGTTAATCAATAAGCTTACAATGAAAATCAGGCTCGACTGACTAACTAATTCACTTACAGGCCAATTTTGTCTGCGATCTGCGATTAAGTTTACTATACCTACACTAAWTTTTTTTTACGGTGTACACAATTATAAACAATACCTCGAGAAGATAAACCTTTTGATAAATTCAGTAGTCGTTGAGCCATCTTGTATAGGAACGTGCTTAACCAAGTACATGTATGACATTGGATTGTTCTGGACTGCGATAACTGGTTTGTAAACAGGTTTTGTAGTTTGATTAGAGCGTATGATAACAACAGCGATAAATGACTCAAAATAGCTCAAAATATCCTGAAACTCCACAGGAATGCAAAGAAAACCCCAATAAACAAGTAGAGATGTTTATTTTTATTAAATTTAACATATTTCGCGAAATTACTGAAATAGCTTGGGCTACCTGTGTACAAACTAGCTCTAATAAAACAATACTTCTAACCCCACCCCACCCCTGAACGTTGTTTTTTAGTATTTTTGTTTTAGTATGACATTGGGCCCTGGATTGCGATAACTGGTTTGCAAACAGGTTTTGTAGTTTCGTGATAGTATGAGTAATATTTTACAAACAAGTAAAACTACTTATTAAATATCCCGGGATTCTAAACGACTGGCTTTGAGTGGAACCATCTTTAGGGGACCGTAAAAAAGAATCCTATCTTTAATCAATCGGGCCAGATATTTTAGTTATAGTTTGAAGGCGAGGTTAGTGATTTTAGGCAGAGGGTGAAAATCAATTCCCCCCCCCTCTTTTTTAGATGGACGTTGTTTTTTACCCTTTTTCTGGACATTTGTAAAAGACTTGAAAGGCCGATGGGTTTTGTAAGGTTATGGGTTCCCTGTGTTGACGTTTCATATGGGACTGATGGGACTCAATGTTATCTACTGTACATGTGTGAGTGTCATGATGACGCTTGCTGTAATTACTTCTTTATTGGCGGTTTTTCTAGTGGGATTGTATTCTACCAATGCAAATGATCAAAGTGTTGAAAACAACAGACCAATTATTGGTAAGTTTTGTTGGCATAACAGTCGAAAACAGCTGATAATAGTCCGTGTCATGTGAGCATGGTTTGGACTGCAGGTCCGTTCAGGAAGCAATCTCAATATGAAGAAATGCCATTTTATACATTTTGCAATTTTTGTAATGTGGTCAAATATGTAGCGTCGGTTGTCTCTATTTTGACATTTCGAACTCTGAATTTTTTTTATTTCTCAGCGCTTAGATCTGAGCTGTATAAGCGCTTTAAAAATTAATWAMKWAAAAAAATTATTATTATTTATTATTAAAATAAATGTCCTCAAAGCATATTGTTATTATTAAGCTTATTATAATTATTAAGTTGTATGGTAAGTATTATTTAAGCTTATCTTTATTTTGTTCATCACTGATAATCTCTAAGTGCAGATAAGATTACAATTATTATTATCATTATTATTATTGTTTTTGTTGTAAATTAACAGGAGTTTTAGCTGAAACCCTTCCTGCCAAACGGTCTCAGTATGGGCAATATTACATTGCAGCATCCTATGTGAAATTCATTGAATCTGCAGGTGGACGTGTTGTGCCCATATTGTATCCTTAACAACCTCTGCATCATCATTWTGTCATTGTAAACCTATCAAAGATTACCCCTCAGAATGCAGTTTTCCTTAGTGATTCATAATCTTTTCTTTGATTATTATTTTTATATCAAATTTTTATGATATTTGCATGCACTTATTATTTATCATTCCTTTACTGATTCTTAGCCCCAATGCTACATCTGATGACATACTGAAGATATTTAATTACATCAATGGGTATAAATACAATAAATGATGCATGTTATACAAGAGTTGTTTGAGAAGTCTTCCTGTTGTGAATAATTGAAAGGATAGCTACAAGTTGAATTTAGCATACTAAATCACTCAAGTATTCATGTCATACATTCTAACCTATATCGTAGTGTACTGTTTCCTGGAGGTGGTGTGAGTCTTACTGAATCTGGATATGCAAAGAATGGGAAGCTCTTCTATGAACTATCTGTTAAGGTAATGTGTTTTTCTACAATGCAGGAATTCCAACTTTTGAAACATGCTATAATCAATACCATTGAACCACATTTTTCTTTTCCACTTCTAGGCATTTGATGAAGGTGTTACATTTCCAGTCCTTGGAACTTGCCTTGGTTTTGAGTTGCTCAATGTCATAACAAGTGATGACAAAGTTGTACTTTCTCATGTTGATGCTGAGAATCTTCCTACTCCATTAATTTTTGCTGAAGGTAAAATATGTACCGTCACTCATCACAAAGGATTCGGTCTCAGTATATGCATGTCCATTTGTCTAAYTTTAAAAAATATTGTACACTTATCTTAATGTGTTGAGGTTTCAAGGAGAGCAGAATGTTTTCAAATGCTCCTGAACACCTACTTAAGAGTATTCAAGATTCTAGCATCACTATGAACAACCATCACTGGGGTGTTACACCAGAGGTAATCAAACGCTCACAAAGCGTTTGTCATAATTGTAAATTTGGCTTCCTAAGTGCCAACACATAAAATTATTTTTCTAGAACTTCCAGAACAACAAAAATATTTCATCSTTTTACAATGTCATTTCCACAAATAAAGACAGAGAAGGAAAGATATTTGTCTCAACCATTGAAGGTAAACCTAATGATTTTATTGATATAGAAAGTTAGAATGGAAAGTTAGTTTTTACAATTTTTTTTCCAACTGAAGGGTCTTTTGCCCAGAATAACCGTCTTTGCAAGCACTATAATTTCCTTTTTATCAATAATTTTATACATGAAACTGTAATAAACAACTACAGTGGAAGTATTAAAACCTTGGAGAACAAGTTGTATTCAAATTTGTTTCATACTTTGCACAGGTAAACGTTATCCTATATATGGTCTTCAGTGGCATCCAGAAAAGAACCAGTTTGAATGGTCCCCAAGAGAAAGTATCCCTCATTCCCCTGAAGCTATTGAACTGGGACAGTACATAGCAAACTTTATTGTAGGCCAGGGTGAGTAAACTCTGAGCTTTGATTATAGAAATGTTCATTGGTTTACACGAAAACTAACATTAAAATTTGTTGTTTTGTATCAGCTCGTTTAAATAATCATAAGTTTCCAAGTCCTGAAGAAGAAGCAGCCGCATTAATCTACAACTACAATCCAATGTACACTGGAAGTTTCTCCAACTTCACGCAGATGTACTTCTTCTAAATAAGCCTGGCATTGAAACATTTATTTTGCACAAGGAATTTTTATATATAGTGTAATAGGAGAAGTTTTTTACGAGATGTTTTTGGCCCAACTTCAATTTGCATGATGGAAGCAAATATAACCATTGAAATGAGCACTGAGCTTGGTCTTGCATTTCCAAGCCCATCGCACATGAGAACATTACATTTTCTTGGAGAGCAACATGATTGGATTATAAACACACTTTGTGATTTTTTCTAAAATCTTTAATTAYCTATGTTAAGTATGATATATATTTTAGCTAATATAATTTGACTTGAAAGATCCTACYGTTGAGCTGATTTACGAAAAATAGGTGATTGCATAGATTTAGTTTATAGTACTTTAGTGTCAAAAACTGTATTTTAGAAAATATATTACATTACTCTACAACCTGGGGCAATGKTCAATATTGGTTTTTATTATATGACCGTGCAACTAGGAGTCTGGGTGCCAGCAAATGGAGGCATTTGATTGGCCGAATTCTATTCGAATTCTATATTTTCCTAGGTAGACCRGTCCGAGACCTAAATACTGAAAGAAAATGTTATTTAGATGTTGCAAGACATTTAGACACTGTAACAAGTGTCGTACAATGTAATTCTTGAATGTTTACTCAAACACTGAAGCTATTAGCTATTAGTGTTTTTGTCTTATGTCAATGCAAACTCCTCCATCTTCAAGATGGTTTCTTCAAGATACATCCAAGTCATAAATAATTTAGAACTGAGTGTTATTAGAGAAAATATATTAGAGTTGGCAAGACACAGCTTTGTGGCATTAATGATAAGTGSTTTATAGGCATATCACCTCATTTTGCATGCAATTTTGCATTACAACAAAAACAAAATTGCAACAACAAAAAGTGAAATAATATAAAACACATAACAGTAGGTGGTGAAATAGTTAATATTATTGCAAAAATTCTTCAGTTTTCAGAATTTAGTGATCTTCTTTATTAAAGAGGTTATTGTATGYATCAGTTTTCAAATAAGTGAAAAACAAAAGATAAACCCCTTTCCTGTTTAATTTGTGAGTGTGCAGTATATTTTATATTTTGAAGTACATTTTTTTTTCAAGTTCATCTGATCAGTTGGGTACAAAAATATGTCATTCTTGTTAAAACTGTTGAAAAGTACTTGTACAATCAAATGAACTCAAGCCATGAAAGTTGTTTAGTTCATATTATTGTAGGCAGCTAAATAGAAACATTTAGGAAGTTATTTCATGGACAAAATCTAGTACTCTGAATTTATAAGCATGTGTTTATAAGCATGCATTTTGGAATGTGACCAGTATAAATTATGTGAAGGAACCATTATGGATTGCTGTATTCCAAAATCTAGTACTCTGAATTTATAAGCATACGTTGATGTCAGAGCATGCATTTTGGAATGTGACCAGTATAAATTATGTGAAGGAACCCGCTGTTGTCCAACAGGAAAAAGTGAGGATTGAGAGAGCCACTTAGACACATGATTCACTGACAACCAGGTTTTCTTTGCTTTTCTGGGTATCTTGCTTGTTTGCAGCATTTAAAGCATCAACAGATGAACTTAACTTGTTGCTACCTACAAATGAAACAAACAATGTCAAACAACTGCGTATGCTGATGTACACTGATCTAGAYGGGTATTCAAAATGTATTTTGTGTTGTTGGTGCATACATATGTGGTACCTACTTGTAGGGGATTTGTCATCATCAAGTTCCTCACGAGAGCTTGCCAAGGAATCAGAACAAATCTGRGGAATTTTTCTTGTCCAGTGATCTGATGCTGCCGATGACTCTGAGGCAGATGATGGACAGGAACTGTGACGAACATAGAACAGCAGATATGCAGAACTGGAAACTACTTTTTCTGTGGGCATCTTTTCAACTCTTGTATCATCAAAGAGATACCATTGYGAATCAGTAGGATTCTTGCAGTATGCTGTATAATGGCCRCCAGACATGGTTCCCATGTGGTTACACACCGCATAAAGRTCATAACTGTTTTCCTCGGTACTTGAAGAGTTTCTCCTGTTTCTACGCCAGCTTGTCAATGATGGCAGACTGTGACTATCACTGGACTGTTTCTGTCTGGGTTCAAGATGAGGTGTCATATCCAGGTCAGCAATGGGAAAATGAACAAATGTATTGAGCTTTGTTCTGCCAGATGGCGTCTACAAACATTAAATAACAAACATCAGTCAAACATTAGTTATGCTGTTTGCTATGTCTTTCTTCCAAAAACACTCAATGTGAAGAAATTCAAACAAAGTTAAATATACAAACCTGTCTAAAACGCTTTAAGTGGACCACCARGACTTCGGGCAGGGACCACAGGCTAAGCCTTTTTACAGTTCCTTGCTGTCTTGTCTTGCATTTTGGACATAGCCAGGCATCATCTTCTCCAAGCTACAAACCAACAAAACATTGATAAATCAACAAAAAACCCATACAGCAGCTCTTGTTGTCATCCCTTCCTGTCTTTTGGTTATCAATCATAATAAAAAGATGTGTTTTTGCCATTACCTGTTCTTCTCGTGTGTAGAGAGAAAAGCAGTCATTAAGATCAACACCATCAGCTGTCTGAAACTGATTCTCCATCTCTCGAACACTTGAGTGTTCTTCAGGCTTTCCATTGATGTCTGGTTTAACATAACTAAAAACAAACCATTACATGAGTTCTTGTTTTCGATACCTGGATATTAATTCTTCTGCTGCAATTAATTATTGCTTGGATATTAGAATGTATTACAACTATACAATATTACATATTATCTAGAAAGACAGAGAAATGTTTATTTCTTGACACTTACTTTGCTTTGATGTCCTCATCCCATTCAACAACAATTTTCATATGATTTGGTGATTTTTTATCTTCTATTGAACGAACAGCACTGAAACAGATAAAAATGAAATTTATAGAAAGTGAAGAAAACAATAACATACAACCACTTTGAGTAAGGTTACTAAAGAAAAATATGCTTCCATTTTAAATAACAAACCACAGATTTGAGTATAACACCAAAACGAAACACGTTTGGMTATCAATAGATGTGATGTTAGTCTCCTTCTCAGCCTCCCCTTTTGTAGGGCTTTGGGAGGGACAGGAAGCCCAACAAAAGGGGAGGCTGTAAAGGAGACGAAGGTGTTTTGTACCTATCAACAGTTTCTTGGTAAAGAGGATGATCAATAACATCTGGAGACAAGTAGCACTTGTCAGCATTGCCACCAACAACTCGTAGTTTAAACAGTGGTTTCTTCTGCTTGGCCTAGAAAAACACAAACTTTCATTAATGAAACTAAGTAATCAAGATTGTTAATATATGAAAAGGAAATAATAGGGTAAATGAGGAAAAACAGCATGACAATTTTGAAAACGTAATGCTAAYAATTAAGTAATAATGTCACGATTACAGTACATAAACCAATAGTATAAACTCCTACCACTTCATGGACATTATCTTTCAGCATTCTTCCCATTGCTTTTAGCAATATTGACTGMAGTTGTGTGAAACTAACTTCTCTTAGGACATGAACAATAAAAGGAGGTCCAAACCTTTGAAATGAACAATGAAAAATGAAAATATATTGTGTTATTGTTGATTACATATAYAACTGACATGAACTGAATTCAAAAAATAACTTGAGATGTACAAATACTATTATTCCCTTCTGGAACAGTTGAAGCTAACATGCCAACAAAATAATATTAAGTAAAGTAGCACCTATAGAATAAGTTTCAGAGTGACCTGTAMGAGTCTTATTACCATAACAAATTTGAGATACATGTTCCTTGCAGGAGTACAGGTAATAACTGACCTTTTGATATTCTTTCCTTTGACAAGACAGTTAGAAATAAGAATGACTAATGAATCTTGGTTGTGTTCACCACTGTCATTGTATGTTATTAACGGCATATCACCAACACTGTCTGGGTCAGGATAAAGCTGTTTGGGGCACTCAAAGGCATATATATTGTCACCTTCATGAATGATGGACATTGATTGATGATCTCTGAAAGTTCTTTGAAATCCATTAGCAGCAAGCTCAGTGATTACAAGGTTACCAACTGGGATTTCAGTCATTTCAGATACAGACGCTCTTAGTGTTGATATCTTGCTATATACAGGAACACTGATGCCAATTCTTAAAGGAGCTCTTGAAGACCCAACAAATACTACAGTTACATAAACAGGTCTTGTGTCTCTTTGGGGAATTGGTAAAGAAAGACATAAAAATGGATCAAAAGTTGTYGATTGCTGATTGCACTTTGGGCAAGCTAAAGATGAACGATATTGTGCTTGGAACAAATCGAGGACAATACTGTCATTACATCGCATGTGATTGGATAAGGACTCTTGAGCGATACACTCATCTGATCTACCAATGTTGTCCTGAAAATTCAAGTATACCAAATTACTATTTAACTGTATTGATATTTTCAAATATTTTGACCATCAGAAGTCACAAAGCCTACAATTGCCTCTATATTGTTTAAATTGATATCATTTAATTTTTTGCTTCATTATGTTCTGCTCCACTCGTTTTTTTTATTTTTGTTTTTCCTTTTTTATCCTTTGGYTCTTGTCAAAGAACACTCAGCAAATCTCACTAATAATATCAACCAAACCTCTGGGGAAGATGCTACGCTCTGTCCTTACAATGTAAATAGATTATCATGCATAATTCAAGACATACAGAAAGAAAACAAATGATGAGTTTAGTGGTACATAAGTAACATAGTATTTGTATATTACTATAATCAAGCTTTTTCTATATCGGTCCTCTATTTTCTATATATGACCTTTGAGAGACTAAAAGTCAAGTTAGTTTAAAACTTTTCTCAATGACCCATATCAACTAAGGAATACTCAATGATCAATGCATTAAAAATGCAAATATTTAAAATCCTAAGAATTGCAAAATGACATAATCAATTAGATTATTGTTTTACAAAGGTAATAATGAAAATGTCAAATTGTTAGAACAACAGTTTCTTTTTGAAAAAAATCATTAACAGAAAAGTTTTGTCAACAAATGCAGCAGAAACTCTCTCCATGGGCCTCTATTTCATGATCAGTCTTTTTTTCCTGACAAACACATTCTTTATTAGATTGCTGAAACTATAATTTAAGCATCTCGTAATACTTCTACTTAGATTCTTCTTTTTTATACCCATTTTCAAATTATTACATGCTATTGTACATGTAAAAGTTATGGATGCTTCAGTGAACAAAAGAGGACTTTATTTTGAGTATGCAAACAGTAAAAGTACTTAACAGGAAGACAAACCAAATGATATTTAAGGAAAATTAATGGCTTTGCCTCACTATAATGCTTGTATGCCCTTGTCTATGTGATAGTCAGTGGGTCAGACAATCAGTAGAGACAAGTTAGATAATGAATGACACATCCTCCACAGGAGCTCGCAACAATGAAAACCAACATACAAACAAATTCATTGACATGGCTGTAATAATACGCCATGTAAAATCAAAATGAAATATCTTCATTATATTTATCTGACAATCAAACAAAATATTTCTTTTAGAACGTTTTGATGTAAGCTCAAAATACTATCCATTACCAAGCACGTCCATGTTGTTATTTCCGTGTTATTGATACATTTCCAGAACTTCATTAGTGGATTAATAGGAAAAAACATCAGCAACTAAATGCACAAAATGACTGTTTTGATCTGTATAAAATTACGCTGTTTCTATGGAAGCGATTACTACGAAGGCTATTATAAGTATCAGGTGTCCACCTCCCAGTTCGTTTCAATGGACGTTATGTAGTAGGATTTAAAATATATTTATTTTGGTACACTAATTGATATTCACTTATCTAATAAAGTCATGTTGATCTAATAACTTACTTTATTTGGCTTGTACTTCTTTTTAGTAGCACGATTCAAATCTTCGTGCACCTTGTCCAGCAACCAAAGTAGGAACTCTTGAGCATCGTGTTGAGCATAACCTCGATATTGCAAACCATGTTGTCCAACAATGGCTTTAAAATCGCTGCTGATTTGAGCATTATACTGACTAGACCACAGATTCTGTAATAGAATTGCTAGTTTTTCAGTGACCTCACCACGAGTACCAAATTTCTTGTTTTGTCCTTTACGAACTTTCATCATATCTTGCATGTAGTTTCCGAGTACAAAATACTCAGCAAGATAGTCTGTGTGTGCTAAGCACTGAATGATGGCATTCATAAAACACGTATTACCATGATTCTTCAAACCAGTTAAACTATAAACTTCAGGAGGTTTACGAGAAGTGTTGTCATTTTCGTCACGTTTCTTATACGACGATCCCTCAACTACAGAAAGTTCATCTTTACTTGAAGATATGGTCGAAAAACTGGAACCGTTGTTTGCAAGTTGAACAGATGATACTCGAACAACCAATTTCTGAAGAAGATGAGACAAAGATTTCATAGACGAAGATCTCGTAAGCTTTTTGCTTTCATCTCGGTGCTTGGATCGAAATCGAAAGCTTTTTTTCTTCTCCAAACTTCTCGAACTCTTACTTCGCTCGAGGTCGGCTGAAATTTCATCGACTCCTTGACCACCATTCAACTCTCCGACGCTTGCAGCTCTTGCAGTAAARCTCATCTTAGAGATATTTCAACAGGTCAATCATCGTGAAGATCCCAGGGAAATATTACATGGAATTTCTGTTAAGATATTTCGATACTACSACCAGAGTGACATTTCTAATCAAAAACACTACACCGACTACCAAACCAAGCCACAACCTTCAATGCGAGCATGCGCGTGACAGCGTCTATAGGGGTGGGGTACTACGATTTTATCGCAAGATTTATTTCTGTTTCTCCATTTAAGTTTTAAGCATAATAAATAATTGTTTCAGCCTTTTGATCTCCTCTAGCTATATTTGAAAGATAAAATATAGCTTTATAGGTATTGTCTCCTAGCGTAGGTCGTGTCACAAACGGATCAGCGGTTGCGTGACTTTAGCCATGACGTCATTAGCTAAGTATTTTTTTACGTCATATACAGAGGTTTTTCAAAATACTTTGCAGTTTTAGCATAGTTTCATCACTCTCCTTATTAMTTCTTACAATGGCAGAAATGTAATTTGGACATAAAAAATCAAATCAAATGTTATCAAAAATCAAGTTTATATAATATATATTAATTTGTTCAAACTCTTTGCAATTATAATTGTACAATTGGTGGAYGATGTGACTATTGTGATGTCACCCAAAGAGTCGTGATATCTTTGACCTTGGCCTTAATCTGTATAGCGACTATGTCCGAGAATTCTAGCTTCAGGGTGATAATTTAAAGTTCAAATTCTTTTGTTAGCAACACTGCAAAAGGGGCAGAAATAGGTTGTTCCAGGGTGCCATGATCCCCCTTTGAAAGCCAAATCAATCTAAACTAATTACAAGAATGTATATCAAACAGTTGATGTAGTGTGGAGTTTTGTTTAAGAAACTTAGTTTAGGAAAATTAAGAAAATTAGTTTTCTTGTTTCTTGCAGCCAGCATTTATAATCATATTGAAATTCATTTAGATATTTAATAGAAAAAAGTAAGTTAGATTGTAAACATAGATCCCTCTTGAAATCTATAATGTGAACTAAAAGAATGTCTACATTTCGACTTACTRTCTTCCTGCTTAAACTTTGCTTTGAGTTTTTAAAATTCATCAATAAATAAATCATAGTCWTACAATTAAGTTACACAGTTTTAGGGCACAAAACCTCATAATATTTTTTTAATAATGATAGCAATAATATACAAATTGTTTCATATGTTCTGTTATAAATACTTTAATACTTTAGGATAAACTTTAGTTGGCATRAAACAAATAACTGCACAGCCGGAATTCTGTGCAATGTAATAAATAAATTAATAGCTAATTTTTATTTTAAAGTTACTTAATTAGTAAATTACCAATTACATCTCATCTAGTTCCTGACAAAAGAATAGGTACAGTAATGTATCAGAACTTAATGACAGCTACTATAACTTGACAGAACAAGCGCAGTTTGTATAACTTGATATTTCAAATATCAAAAACTTTACTTATATGACTGTAAGAAGTGATTGGTCTAATAAAACTTGCTCTAGACAGTGTTTCTATCTGTTAACACCATTGAATCCATAAGCAAAAACAAATCTTGATGTTGAACTCTGATCATTGTTCATATCTGGAATATCTGTAAGTTTTTCATTCATATAACTATAATATCAACTATAATAGCATAAAAACTCTTGTGATTTTCTTCACTAAGCCTTGAATTTGTGATGACTACCACATACGTAGCAACAAAATCTCAATAAAAGCATAATTCAAAAATTTTCTCTGTTTTGAAATTAGATTTTGTAATGACAGTGGCCTGTATCGCTGAAAAACATGGAATTAAAATATGAAGAGACTAATACAATGTGCCAACAATCAAACTATYCCTGATGTAAAAATGCTAAAATGTAATCTAATAGATCTACCCATCTAAAATACTGATAGGAAACAGTAAAAGCAAGTTGAATTATTTTATATCATAAAGTCTCATCTGATCCTCTATCTGGTCCATGGAATCAACACCAAACTTTTCCTTCTCTTGTGCCATTAGTTTGTATATCTCTTCAAGCTGTTTCCTTTGTGCTCTGTTCAAAGCAAACATACAATACTGTTCGATCAGTTTGTTGATGAGCTAATGCAGTACAAAGTCCAACAAAAGTTGAAAAGTAAATATCCACTGTATATAAATCAATTCACCTATATTAAAGTTAGAAGAAAATTAAAAGTCTAGGTACGTCATCTCTATTACAGTTTATGTACTATTGAGCAAGCTGCYCCTGACTTGAAGCTTACTCACATTCGTTCTTGCTCTCTTTCTTGCCTTGAAAGCATTCCTTCCATCTCTTTAATGTGTAAGCGTGATGTTTTGTAATATGTCTGGATGTTTTCCATTCCCTTTTCTTTCATTTCACGTTCAATAACATTGCTATCCAGTGGAATCTGCCCAGAGATATTTTGAATATCACTAGGATCTATTAGGTATGGTGCCATTTGAGCCCTTAACTCACTGTCATTGCTGACCACATCTTCTTGCTTAAAAACAACAGAAATTCACAAGATTTTTTTTATTTTTAACAAAGTCAACATTTTGACATATTTATTTCCCTATCGCCTGTATAGTAGTTTCATTAATTAACATATTCCATCTGTCAGCTTTAAAATCCTTTGAAGATTTCACACACAATTGTTGTCAGTTTCAAGGGATTGTATGGTTGATGATCTTTTGGCAAATAATACATCAAGTGTCTTCTTTTCCCTCACCAGAAACATAACAAAATATCATAACTTGCAACAGATGTTCCGGAGACAATAGGTCAATAAAACAAACAGTTCAATAAAACACAGTTACTTTAGTATTAAAATGAATATTTCGCACAAAATTGAAATAAGCTTGTCTAGGGAACATCGACAAGTTTCCTTGTCACAAAATATTCATCAACAAAATTAAAGGAAAAAACGTTAAGTTCTGTCAAGTACAGGCAACCAGACAGTGTTTTTCTACAATTTTCTAGCCTACCTGATTTGGTTTTTCGTCCTCTTTCATCACAGGATTTCTGTACAATTTTTCACCTGATGTTTTCGTGTTCGAGTCGACAGACCATTCATCAGCTAATCTGTTAGCATTTTGGACGTATAGCCAGGTAAGGATTATAACTAACACAGTTAGTGCTCCTGGTATTAACAAAGCGCTTGACAATTCCATGATCTAGAGTGAACGAGCTCGAGTTTTCTCCTAACCTTGTTCACCACTTCTCGAGGATCGACGAGACGCGCCTACGATCAACCACCGCTGACTCTCAATATTGTCATGGCAACCACTTTACTCATCTTTTCTCTTTCTTCGTCACACGTTCAAACATTCTTGAATTCACTTACAAAAAATACAAATTGATTAAAAAATTGATAGGTACACTTGAAAAGAAGAAAGATATCAAAAGAAAAAGAAGAAAAGAGAAAAACAAACAAAACGACAAACAAACCATTTTTTGTGTGACTCGAACTCGACACCCCACATTCTGCCATAAGTTTGACAGTCCAAGCTTTAGTACGCTGTGCTACTGTGCTACACTCATTTACATAATAATAGACTACTTGGCACTTTCGCCGAATAGACTACCCCAATTTGACATTATACTTTCGATAGTTGCCTAGTTAGTGCAAGGGGTTATCCATCAGTGTCTAGGGGCCGGATAGCTTCTCCCTCACTGGCTTTTTAGTTAGCGCGAAGTTAGGACTAATTATCGGGATAGCATGGAAGAGCCGAAATCTCTAACCGGAATGTAAATCGATTCGACGCCTCAGCTTCACAGAATGTCTCGGGGGAATCGTCCCAACCTTTTTTCGATTTTATGGTCAAGGGTTCGAATCCCACTATGGGCCAGTTTTTATTTCTTAATTATGATATCTTTTTTTTTTCTCATTTTTTTTCGAATCATGGAATGTGTGCACTGATTTCAATGGATTAATAAAAAAATAAAATGCTAAGAAATAGGATAAGTATAATTTGCCTCACACAAAGAAAAACTTTTCCTCTCTTTTCCTGACAGAATTCAAGCCAAATTTTCTCGTTTTTGATTTTTATTTGGCTGTGAGGGTAATTTGAAGGATCTAGCACTGGGTCCTTCGAAGTTGTATTGCTTGATTGAATTATTGACGTTGAGGTGTAAAATCTTGTGATGATGTGTACGGGTRTTTCTTACAACGCTCTTAGAAAATCATCAGGTATCACTTGAGAAAAAGATTTACTAATGAGAAATACAATAATACACGACCTTCTTTCAGACCAACTAGCATAATTATCGACTTTAAAGATTGAGAGGAGAGTAATATAATTAACTAGATATAACTGAAAAACTGCCAGTAATCGGATCGGGATTGAGTGAGTAGTGTAGCGTATTATGACTGTCATGTCATGTGATCCAAGTCAATCATCCACTGATCCAAGAATTTAGATCGATAACAAAGTACCATATTCAATTACCGGTTTTATTTCTACAGCCAGATATTTTAAGGTAGTAGTGTGAATTAGTGTAAATCSCGCTATGTACCTAGACTATATCATTGTTCTAGTGTTACTTGTGGCTGTCACTCAAATTGAAATGGGGAAAACAAAGAAGCCATATGTAAGGGCGAGGCAAGATATTCCTGATTCGAGCAAACCTGTCATTGGTAAAACTGAATTTATTTCATACTTTTTACGGTGAACTAGTGTAACAGATTGATAAAAAATCAACATTCATAGTCCTTTCATGCTAATTATAACTTTCTCACGTCTAATGGTAAAACGATTTTGTGGTAGGGGTTCTTGCGCAAGAGACGTCAGGAAGAATCAACAAATTTGCTCAAGGACAATATGTACTGTCAACATATGTGRCTCTGTTGCAATCTGTTGGAGCTCGTGTAGTACCAATCCTGTATCCTTGATATCACTGAGCCAGGGGAATATCTCGACTTGTCCACAAAAAGCATTAATCTATATTGATAGCATTGAAAGAAATAGGTCYTWTTCACATTGGTCGGTGGTTTGGCATATTGTCATYTTCAAAGCCATCAATGGGGCACTGAGCAACGCGCAATGTCTGCGGAGGAGTCTACTACAAGACTGCATGGCTAATTTGCATTACAATATAATAAATATCGTCCACTGTGAATAAGGACTATTTATGATTATACGTTCTTTCATTTATTATTGTATTCAAAAATGGTAAAAAAGTAATCTGAATTTTCTTCATGCACGTATCATGAAATGAAGGCAACAACGAGAGGCACCTTGACTTGCTTAAGTGTAAACCAAACGGCCGAAGAAGTAGAGGATATATTTAATTCAGTGAACGGGTAGGAAACCAGTCTAGAAAGAACTGAGCATATATATTTTTTTTGCGCAAATCATCATTATCAATGTCTTCATCGTTATAAGTTATATCATACAGCATGCAAGAAGTAATTGCTCATTAACTGGTTCACTATTTCAGGTTACTAATACCGGGAGGTCATGTTAAACTGCAATACTCTATGTATGGTAGAGTTGGTAAACAGCTTTTAGATCTCGCAATCAAGGTATTTATTACGATAAAATACTAAAATAGTAATTAAACACTGTTCTCTAATAACAAATATCAGCAAGCATCCTTTCAACCCCTCTGTTTTCCATTAATCTCGTCGATCATTTTTCATCTTGATTTGTCATCTTTTTCAAGGCCAACGACAAGGGTGACGTGTTCCCAATATGGGCCGAGTGTCTTGGATTAGAACTTATAGCTTTATTAGTATCTGGAAGAGGCATTAGTGAAGGGCAATACGACTCCAAACTCTTTGATACGGTCGATGCTAAGAATCTCTTTCTCCCTCTGACTCTAGTAGGTGGTATGTATAGTTTCTGTTATTTTGATTCAACTTATTTCACCATTAATTCATTAGAGTTTTATTTGGTTGTATTTAAGATTGGAAAAATAGCAAAATCTTTGGATCCGCCTCTCCTGACATGATCAAGTTTATGACTACAAAACTGAAAGGTTTCCACAACCACGACAAAGCCCTTAC